CTTGGTTGAAATGTATTCCACTACTGAAAATTAGTGATGGGGGCATTATTGTGAATATAGTATATAATTTAGATCTCAAAATTTTTGTGAAAGTATTTACACATTTTATCACAGTGATAACAGTGCTACAGAGTAGGCCAGTAACATCCCATTATTGCAGAGGATAAGACAGGTGGGAGCAGCAACAAAAGGTTGCAGTGCAGATTGCTCCTGTTAAGGGCCACAGTCAGTTAACCATTCTCTTTCCAGTTTTTCCATTCCTTCCCTCCTTGATATTTCTCTTTTTCCTAACAATCTGCCAGCATTCTGTGGCCTCTGAGTCTGCTTAGTCATTATTCTGCTCCATGGGGGTTTTCTGCTCTTTGTCATTTAAAGCTACACCTGCTGGAATTCTTCTGTATAACTTTAGAAGATGCTGAGCCCTGTCCTCTTTTGCATCTGACTGCCCTAGGTCTATCCTACTCCCTACAAGTATATTTGTATGTCTGTATTTCCCGGCCTATCCAAGCCTGCAGATGCCTCCTCTCTTGTGTATGGTATTGATTTTGCTGCCCATGAATGAGTTTTCTATTAGTATATGATTGTGATGTTTCTTAATGGCATTCAGGTAACAGCCGCGGGACTTCCTGTTTTGAGTCAGGGACTTCCAATTTTATGGCTCAGCCTATTAACCACTATGCTGTACCAGCTCTCAAGTAACTTGAATTTTTGATCCTTTTAGCAGAGTGGGAGAGACACCAGATAAAACATTGTGGGGTAGCAGGCTGTAGATTGCTAAGGTCATGGACAAGGATGAGACTGAGTGATGTAGTCTTATCCACTGATTGCCTTGCCTTGACCTTCCCCAGTCACTTAGGGTGACATCCAATGATTTTTGCATACTTGCCACAACAGAAATCTGCTCATACACCCATATTTCCTGTTTCTCTTCTGTCCCCTCCAGCCCCCTGCATATCCCCAAAATCTGCTGTAGAGATTTCCTCTGCCTTTGAAACCTATTTTTGGAGATAAATTTGTGAGGGGGGGGGTGGGCAGCTGATGTGAGGAGAGAAAGAACTACCATTTCACATGATATTGCCTGTTTGCATTAGGTAGCTCTCACCTCAAGTATTTAACTCCTCCCAGCTTTTCTTTTCTTTTTAAGAACATCATTAGAATTAGCAACTAAAGTTCAAAATATGAGCAGGCTGCTATACATGCTACAGTTTCCATATTGGAGCTGCTGAAAAATGCTGCTACATCATTAAGGCTTGGATGAAGATTGTAACAATTGCAAGGTGCTGACATGAATCAATTAGCCTTGTGCAATTAAGATATAAGACCTACAGCAATCAATCAAATTTCTGTTCATGTCTGTGTCTATAGTTGTGTGAATGATGTGTCTGCATATTATAAATAGCTCTTACTAAAGGATTATATAGTCTTCTTACAGATTGCATTATTATTATTAATATTATTAGGTATTTTGACTCTTATTCCCTTTCACTTTAATTTGTGTATCCCATTGTCCCAGAACAAACTTCTGTATGTTTCTTATACATAAATGCTTCTTCTGGAACTGTAGTCTTGTTAATAGTAAATTTGAATGATTGCACCCATCTCAGATAAATCCCAGTTTATTGGTGGGAGGAGAGAAAACTGGATAACGTAGATGGGACTGGGATGCAGCTGTGCTCAGATTCTGTAAAATAAATGAGCTGACAAAAATGTGAATAAACGCTTTAATGTACAGTAGAACATATTTACAATATTCGGGAATAGGTAAAGTGAAAGACTTCCAGCTACCAGCTATACCAATCAGGCAAAAATCTTGCTTCTCATTAAATGCAACCCAAGATTGTATAAATATAAGCCCCAGGAGTGAAATGCAAGCAGATCTAGAGAGGACGAAACAAATCTCTGTGCAAATACCTGTAGCAATTTGCTTTGCCAGTTAAGACACACTATTATTAGTATATGTCATAACTGAATTCAAAAATTAAAATGTAGTACTCATTTTGGAAGTCTAATCAATAAAAGTTGCCTTGTCACACTCTCTTCTTAGCATTCAAAAGAGCTGTCATCTTAGTATATAAAGAGAACTGCAAACTGAAGAAGAAACTGGTAAGTTTTTCTTAGTCAAAAAATAAGACTATCTAAGATGCATTGTGTATTATTGTTCTGATTTACAATACAAAATGTCTCAAGGTATACGTGCAGAAGATACATGGAATGTTTGATACATTACTTAGAGATAAAGTAGATTAGAAATAGGTGAAAAAATCTAGAATCACAAGGGACTGTGATCTAGTGGAAGCTTCCCATTTTAGAAAGGGGTGGGGGAGATTTTTGTTTGTTTTGCCTTCTTACTCATCATATCCAAATGGGGTGATGTCAAAAAGTCACTCGCTTATGTGATCCCTGATCCAAACTTCCCCCTCCCCCAGAAGCATAATTCTGTCTTCTAGGAATGAAGCTTTAATTAATTCTTTAAAAGGCAATGTCACTTAAATGTCCACCCCCATCGTTCTACCCAGACCCTAAGGTCCAGCACCGAGGGCCCTCTGGCGGTTCCCTCACTGCGAGAAGCCAAGTTACAGGAAACCAGGCAGAGGGCCTTCTCAGTGGTGGCACCCGTCCTGTGGTACGCCCTCCACCAGATGTCAACTACCAGACTTTTAGAAGACATCTGAAGGCAGCCCTGTTTTGGGAAGCTCTTAATGTTTGATGTATTACAGTATTTTAATATTTTTTTGGAAGCCGCCCAGAGTGGCTGGGGAAGCCCAGCCAGATGGGCGAGGTATAAATAATAAATTATTATTATTATTATTATTATTATTAAACTGATTCAGTACTTTTTATTTACAGGCAACAAATGTCCGTACTACGCATAATCATAATGATTTGGACTTGTTTAAATTTCGTTGGCTGATTCCTTTATCTGCTCTTCAAGTCCGACTGGGCAATACAGCAGGTGACCTTATCTATAGATAATAATACATTTTTTATTAAACATTTTTTGATTTTTTTGATGTTTGTCACCAATGAATGTGTTTAGTACTTTTATTACTTCAAATCTTAACATATGGAGTAAAGCTAAACGACAGAAGAAAATGGCCACATTGAAACAATATGTAAACTATGGTTCATGTTTTCCAAACAAGACAATATATTAAGGCTTCATAGCCTGCTGTTTGGAACTAACAATAGTTTGCTAATTCAGACAAAATAGGAACCTGTAATTAACTGTGGTTTGTTCCCTGCTGATGTGACGGCAAAAGTAATGTTGATGCAGGAGGGTGGTTTATAACTTGGCCTTCGCTAGAGATTTTGTTGTCGCTATGGTTGATCAAGCAGTGCATCCATCACAACCTTTTTATAATATAGATTGAAGGACACTTGTGAAAGAATTCAGTGTTTATTATAGTTGTCAATAATGTAGTGCCTATTTACATCAGGCAGCATGTTTAACATGATTTGCCAAGTATCTTGCTATTTACCAATTAAAAAACGAATTTCTTCAGTAACTGTGAATCTGAGATTAAGATTTTTTAATCCAGTAGAAGATAAATGACAAAAAAGCTGTCCTGTGTTGGGTGATGAAATTACTTTGCTGTTAAGCAAACAGTGTGGGTAGAGTCTCTAATGAGATGTTGGATACAGTTAATGGCACAACTGCAAATAAGGGGGAAACCTGATTTTTCTTCCCAATAATCCATATCGATAGTGTATGTCATGGTAGGGCTGCACAGCTTACCTGCTGCATACCAGCATACAGAGGGAGAGTGATAGCATCTTTATTTGGTAAATCAGTGGTGGTGGTGGTGGTGGGGAACATAAATTGCTAGAATATAAAACACAATAGTAATAGGCGAGGGGCACTATGTCTTGAAGGATCCTGAAGCTTTCCCTGTGGTCTCATAAGTCTTTCCATGAAAATTGTTTGGCAACAGACTTGTAGACATCATGAAATATTTACAATAACATGTCTTTCTTTCCACATGCAGGAACAGAAAACAATTGCATTTGGGAATTGATTCATACCAAGTCAGAATTGGAAGGAAGACCTGAAACAACCTTCCAGCTATGTAGCAGGTACAATCGTGGGTTCACTTTCCCCTCCAAATAGTCTTTCCTCCTTTCATTCCCACCCTACATAACAGCCTCTATATAATATGCATAATTTGGGCCATTAGATATCCTTTGGAATTAATCACAGCATACTGAATTTTACTTGTTTAATGGCAGCGGTATGTACACTTCCAATAAACCTCAGGTGAAAGATATTTTATGTTGTTGCTCATGCAGCAAGGCCAATCATCTCCCTATGGATATGCTCTGCCAACTCCAAAAGCTCTAGAACTGAACTGTGTAGGCACAGAACTTTATGCAGACCCCATGAGGAATCACACATTCATGCTGATTCTCCAGCCACTTAACTGTTCCATTTGTGAACAATTAAGGTTTCCAAATTGCTCCTTCAAATTACGAAGACAAAGCCAAATCATATGTGTTTGTATTATCTAAAAGCTAACTACAATTTTCTTGAATTTTGCAGTGATTGTGAAAGCAAGACCAATATAGTCAAAGTGATTCGTTCAATTCTAAGAGAAAACTTAAGGCGTCAAATAAAGTGTGACTCACCATTAGAGAAAACATGTAAAAGCCGCCTAGTTCTGCATAAAAATCGAATTCCTGTTTCAGCAAAATTGGGTAAGAATGTATTTTTTGTCAAAATTTAAACTCATACTAGTTTGTAGTAATACTATCCAAGCATGTTCAAACACTTATCTGTAGGCTGGAGAGGAAACAAAGATTACAGTAACTAAACTTATTCTGTTTGTACTGCACTTTGTTGAAAATTACTAGTTGTGCAACTGTATATTTAGTAGGCGTTATTGCATCATCTTGCAGTTGAAAAGGTAGGAAGAACTAAAATTTTGCAAAGCATAGAAATTGATGTTTTTAAATACCTGTCTGATTCTAGGTTGGTTTGGGGTTGTTGTTGTTTTTTTGCTTTTGAGACATAAATTTAATAGTAAAAAAACGTGTACAAGCATAGCTGATAGGGAGAACATTAATTTTGCTTAAACTAAAAGTCAGTTGTGTTGGATTATAAGGGGGGAGGGGGAGAGCCAGAATCCGCCTTAGAACAACCACCTTACTAGCAACTGAAATGTCACAAAACAGCATGCAAGCTTTCAAGTGTTCCCGAACATTTAATCAGACCGGATAGTAAACAAAGCAAGAGGATTTGGCGGGGGGGATAATTTGGGTTATTTATTTAATGTTTATATACCACTGAATCATAAAAATATATCACAGTGGTTTACAACAATATAAAACCTTTCTTATGTATCTTTAGGCACCAGGCAAAAACATTTCTCTTCTCCCAGGCCTTTTGCTAATTAAAAAATATATGGCCTTTTAAAACTTTGGGAGGGTATGCTTTTATTTGTTAATACGGTATGTGTTTTTATATTGTAAACTGTCCTGTGATCCTCAGATAAAAGATGGTATAGACATTGTAATAATACACATCAACTTTGTGATTAACAAAGTAGGATATTCTTCCACACACAAAGTCTGAGCAACCTTCAAAATAGAAGTATTTTCTCTACACTGACTGCTTGAAATTACTTTCCCATAAACTTACTTAGCCTTTGACTGAAGAGCTGAGACTACCATAGAGGCTTATCCTCAGAGCAGTTGAGGAAAGGTTGAAGCATAGCACAGGAATGAGCGGTTCCTTATCTTTGACATAATGCATAAGCAGAACTTGTTCACTTCAGCAGCTTCATGCAAAGATCCTTACTCAGTACTTGAACCTTATAAACTTGTCTTTGTAGGAGTTTTTTTTCCGGGGGGTAGGGGGAATAGTGTTAGTCTATTTTACTGACAGGCTTCCACAGTGACTAGGCAGGAAGCACTGAACCCTGTTCCTTCCTAGTGCTACTAAGAGGCAGCTTAACGTTGCCATTTTTACACAGTCAGTCCACATGGAGTTTGCCTTTGTGGGCTCCTAGATAAATCAGCCAATCTAAGTTCAGAGTTTTTGTTTGTTTGAAGAAAGCCACACTTCACAACTTAAAATATCTCCCCCGTGATATAACGAAAGTAGTTTAAAATGTCACCTCATACTGAAAAGTAATTGTAACACTATATAACGCTTATTGTTATGCTTGCCAGAGTTGTTGAGTATAGGAATTTAGCATGTGTTTTTACCCTGGCAGCTTCCTCAAGATCATTAAAGTTAATGAAGAACTCTCCCAGTAATGAATGGAACACTGAAGCAGGCAAAGTAAATGAATTGGATTCTGATGAATGCAGCCTGAGTAGCAGTACTCCAAGTAGCAGTTGCCATACCACCGATAGCATCCTGGAATCTAAAAATTTGTCCCCCGTGAAACATCTCCAAAACTCTGCATCAGATTTTTCAAACAGTCCTGTCAAAGAATCTGACATTTTAAGTGATGACGAGGATGACTACCAGCAGATTCTAAAGAAAGGCAGTCCCACAAAAGACATAGAAATTCAGTTCCAGCGGCTGAAGATTTCTGAGAATCCTAGTGATGATACAGAGGATAAGTATTCTTCTGAGAGTGAGTATGGAGAAGGGCGGAGGGTGGGTGATCACCCTAAACTAGTCAGGGCGCACTTTTGCCCTATTAAACGGAAAGTGAACAGCACAAGACGCGACAAAGGAACATTACTGGGAATGCAAGAACGGCACCAGTCTCTTGATAGCCATCCAGATGCTGCAAGTTTTGACCTGAACTCTATTTTAGAAAGAGAATTTAGTGTACAAAGTTTAACTTCAGTGGTTAATGAGGACTGCTTTTATGAAACGGTAGACAGGCATGGTAAGTCCTAGCTGCCTGATTCCAGCATCGCCACATACAGATTTACATACTTTAAAAAGGGTGATTATTGTAACTTGAGAAACTATTCAGTTTAATGCACTACTGTGTTTTCCACAGAAGTAGTTGTAAAGGCTTAAGTTATTTTAATTTATTGTGGAACAGAAATTTAGATTGAGCTGTTTACGATTCAGGGCAGAGTAATCTCATTTAAATAAAAGTAAGAGATGTTTTTAAATTTTTGAAAAGGGAACGAACTCTTGTCAATACCTATGTTCTTTTGAGAAAGTTCAAGCAACTTTAATTCGGGGCATTTAAAGCAAAAAATATTTTTAAATTCATCTTAGAAAAATTAAAGTCCTGCACTAAGTTGCACTAAGATGTTTATACTTGATTTTTATATATATATGTAAATATAAAAAGCCTGTACTGTAATCTTATTGTATTTTTCATTTTTCTCTACAAGCTTGTACAGTAAAATGCTAAATGCAATTGGTGTGTTTTGTTTTTTATACTGTTCTCTCTTCAATGAATTTCACATACCTTAGTTCAAAAAGACTTAACATTCCAAATTAGAATGTATTTCATTCCACTCGACAGAAACACACATCGCCGCTGGTTTCTTTTCTAGAATGAGCTAGATCACATCATCCTTAGTCTTGCAAAATCTGCTCCTCTTCCTGTTTCGCTTCTCTGTCAATTCGTCCCTATAGTTATATGTAAAAAGTTTTGGGTCTTCATCACACATTTTTCTATAGACATCACAAAGGCTTTTAAAATGAAACATGGAAAGTTGAGTCGGGCGCAGAATTGGATCAACATCTGCCAGCTTGAGTAGCTGTTCTGCTTTTTCTAAACGTTCAGCTTCTGGAAATAAGACACTGAAAGAAAATAATAGAGATAATCCAAGTGAGTTTGTTAAACGGGGTCTCTTCCTTTATTCAGGTTTTTTAACCATCAGAAACAGTGACCCACTTCTATAAAATTAGCTTACTAATCCATGCTAAGAATAGTTGCCTGCACTAGGTGCAGTTACCCCACATTGTTGGTCTACCACACCACACCCCAATGGAACCATCTTATGCTGCTCAATCTCCTGTACTCTGCCCCCTCACTCAGTGGTTGGCTTTCCTTATCCAAATTTTTGCCTTCTCTGCACATCACTTAGAAATTTTACTTTCTCTTCCCGAACACTGCCATTCTCTATGGAAAGCTTTAGTTCTAAAATGAAAAGCCACAGAGCTCAAGCTTGCATTGACATCCTAACCATAAACCAAAGATGTCTTTATTTTGTCTTACAAGTCAACATGGAAACAGCAGCACTAAAGTATCACAAGTTTAGTTTTCAGCAAGCAGCAGATCAGTTCACTTTAAAAGTCAGGCCACACTGTTAAAATCTCTACCATAATGAAAATTCCCCCTCCCAGTTCCTTAAGGAGGGGTGCTGCCACAAAGAAAGCCTCACCCTTTATCCAATCAAGTTTCAGATAATAAACAGGCACCAAGGCCTCATCTGCTGATTGTAGGGCATAGAGGTGTGGTGACAAGATGGGGTTGTGTCCTGGCATTTAAAGCAAGGTTGGGGAGCCAGTGGCAATCCATATATTCTTGCACTCCAATGCCCATCATCCCCAGCCAATCCAAATTGCAGCCCAGCAGCAGGTTCCATACGCTTGCATTAAAAGGAGTGGCTTGCATGCTCTGATTGCTGTAAACCTTTTCATCACAACTATGGCCACTACTTGTCAGCGGGCGTTAACTGTTTGGTGCTCATTTTTGCTTGGTCTGGATTGTGAAGTAGATGCTAGTTAGTAGAAAGGAACTAGGCCTGGATAATTTCTCTCTCTCTTTGTAGGCCTATAGAGTGGCATGGGCAGTGAGCGAGTGAGTGAGTGTGTGTGTGTGTGTGTGTGTGTGTGTGTGTGTGTTTGTCATTGTTTATTCTCAGACACATATCTGAAGACACTCATTTACTTTGTTTCATGTTCCCTTACCCAATAATAAAATTTGTTTATTTATTTAAAAGGAAAACACACATATATTTTACCCTCAAAATAATTGAGATTTATATCCACTTGTGATCCACTGGTCATGAAAAGCTCACTGATTCAGTGGGGAAGCCATGATCACACACCTGACATCTGACGTAACATGGGATGACAAGCAGGGTCTGTAACGGTGGGACTTCAAAGGAATGATCAGGAGCTTAAGATGAACTCCCGACTGGGTGCATACCTTGCTCCAGCAAAGGAACAACCAGCCTTCAATGGAAACTGGAGGTTTAAGGAGCAGCATGGAAGGGAGAAGACCTCCTTCAGTAAAGTGAGAAGTTAATACCAAAGGACTCTCAAACAGCCCAGCATTGTGCTTTGAATTTCCCACAATCGGGGCTGCAAAGCATAACATCACTTGACCTCACTAGGACATCAAGTGATTGACAGGTGGGTGGCCCCAGCGACATGTTACATTTGGCCCACTTATGGCTGGGGAGATAAGGATCTGGCCCAAGGAGGAGAAAATGGTTCCCAACTCCTCCTATAGATAATAAGAGATGCAAGAGCTCTTTCTGAGGAATTTGGTCTATTTCTCTCACACACCATGCTGACTGCTGTCACCAACTAAAGATTCCCATGTGTGAAATTACTTTGCATAGCCATTGTATTAAGAATACCATTCTGAAGAAAAGATCTCTTACCGTACACTTTGATGACAATATTTCCTTCTGAACTGAAACACAGTTCGGACAACTTTCTCCACCAGCTTAAATGGCTGTTCTATTTTTGGTTGCACCAATGGGGTAAAATGAACGACAGTCACATCCACCTGTGAACAGAAATAAAAACAATGGATCTAAGAAAGTATATGAGCCTAATGAAAAGTTACAGTACAAATAATAAACATTTTAAAAAGTTGTTAGCGCAATTAAACTGCCAAATAACAAGACAAAATGGTTATCATTCTGAAAAATTCCAGCCGGGTGCCCACCGTACTTCCTGTAGCAGGATGCAAATTATGATGTCAGGTAATTAAAGGTAAAGGTACCCCTGCCCGTACGGGCCAGTCGTGTCCGACTCTAGGGTTGGGCGCCCATCTCACTTAAGAGGCCGGGGGCAAGCGCTGTCTGGAGACACTTCCAGGTCATGTGGCCAGCGTGACAAAGCTGATCTGGCGAGCCGGCACCAGCGCAACACACGGAAACGCTGTTTACCTTCCCGCTATGAAGCGGTACCTATTTATCTACTTGCACTTAAGGGTGCTTTCGAAGTGCTAGGTGGGCAGGAGCTGTGACCGAAAGACGGGAGCTCACCCCGCCGCGGGGATTCGAACCGCCGACCATGCGATCGGCAAGCCCTAGGTGCTGAGGTTTTACTCACAGCGCCACCCGCGTCCCCTAATTAGGTAATTAGAAAGACACAATTAAGAGCTGCTGCTGAATGTACAGAATATCCTGTTGGCTATTTTGATTCCTTCTATAAGGGCTCTACACTGCAGTTTGGATTCAAAGTCCTGTATGGAAAAACCTGGAATAATTGCATTTACCTTGAACAAATCTACCCCAAATTCACATCAATATAGAAACTAGTAATTGCCAAAGTCATCCTCCTACTACAATACTCGTGGATGATGGGAGCTGCATTCCAGCAACTTCTGCAGAGTGTCACCTTGGCTACCCCTGTCCTATTTTCATATATGGTGACAGTTCATGGATAGGCATTCTTAGGAAACTCACACTGGTCCCCTTTCACAGGTAAAGCAAAATGTTTATGAGCACTTTTGCCCCTCAAACTACACTTTGTGAGGGAGCCTTGTAAGATCAGTCCTGAAAGACAATACAGTTTCTAACTGTGTGTGTACTACTTTGGAAGATTCTATGGTACCAAAACAAAGTTTTTGACTCGGAACCAAAACAAGCAAAGTCTTGTGTGAATAATTGTGTGATCAATATCAGGATATGTCTTGCAATGCAGTACCACAAATGATTCATTGGTTATGTTGCAGTAGGTGAAAGCCCATGAATAAGGACAATATAGGAGATAGCAGTTAAGAATTCTACTGGCTTTCAAAAGGAGCTTGGGCAAAAATACTGCATGAGAAGAACAACTCTGGATTTGGAGGTTCTTGTCCCCACACAGCCCTCTTGCACTAGGTTAGAAACAGTCATTCCATGAGCAAAGCACTTCCCACTTGCAGAAGTGAAATCCCATATAAATAAATATTTTGGATAATATGATACAGGTTAGGTTCCAATGGAAACTAAGATATACAGAAATAAAGCACATTAGAATGTTTTCTTTCTGTCGAAATACAAAACAATTCTCATTACTTCATTATAGGCTTGGGCTCTTAGAATACTAGGAAAGCTGCTTTGTTACTATGGGAACGGTTATAGAAAATACTGTTCCCTTCTGATTGGATGCTTTGAAATTACTAACATTATATCCTATTTCTTCGTTGTGCATACTAGCAGGCTGAATTTCAAAATCTAACAAGGTACACACAAGCATATTTTAAAACTGCTGATAATCAATCATACCACCTTCACCTTATTTTGCAAATGTTTTTTGTAAAACATAAAATTACAGCTAAGACAAAATATCTCATCTCACTGAGGGTGGACCTACACCCCAGCCCCCAAACAATTCTGTCACTTCTGTTGCCAAAGCTTGTTTTGTTTTGCAAACACAAGCCTGTATTTTGTCCAGGGTGAAATCTACATACATATAAAAAGTGTTCTGGAAATGCATTTTTAAAAAAGCGTTTGTAAAAATACAGTGAATTTTCCATAGGGCTCATCATCACCATTTAGTGTCACATTGTATATTGCACTTAAAACACACTTAAAACATTTTATTTGCAGCTGTATAGCTAAGTCCCAGTACATTAAGAAAAAGGACTTCTGGATAAACAGATTGCCTTTTTGAATCCTTTTCTCAAACAACATGCAGCTATATACAGCGATAATGTAATAAAGAATGTAATAAATAAACATCTTAAAACTATATTATGTTAACTCCCTAGTTTTGCTCCTCCAACTTTACCATCCTTAGCTGCTGCCTCCGAGTGTCCTGCTCTTTTAAACTCCTGCCCCTTCTATTGGAATTGTTTGTCCAAACAGAAACATCTACATTTATTTATTGGTTTTTTATTTTTAGTAAATGCACAATGCAAACTTGTAAAATGGCACCACCAATCTATATTATTCAGTCTACATTCTTTCCCACCTTTCAAGCAAAACTGAAGCCTGCGTTTTCGTCAAGGATAAGTATATGCATACAGGTATGTTTCGTTACCCTTGCTTCTCCCATATGTCTCTTGCCATTTAGAAAGTTTTATATTACAGTATAGACTTTTCAGAGCAGATACCTGCTTCATTTTTTATGGAAAATTCTGTAAATGCCATACAAGGTCAGTGCTAAAACTATACGGCCTAGGCCCAGTGTACCTGAAGGAGCGTCTCCACCCCCATTGTTCAGCCCGGACACTGAGGTCCAGCGCCGAGGGCCTTCTGGTGGTTCCCTCATTGCGAGAAATGAGGTTACAGGGAACCAGGCAGAGGGCCTTCTTGGTAGTGATGCCTGCTCTGTGGAACACCCTCCCACCAGATGTCAAGGAAAAAACAACCACCAGACTTTTAGGAGACATCTGAAGACAGCCCTGTTTAGGGAAGTTTTTAATATATGAAGGACTATTGTATTTTAATATTTTGTTGGAAGCCACCCAGAGTGGCTGGGGAAACCCAGCCAGATGGGCGGGGTCTAAATAATAATAATAATAATAATAATAATAATAATAATTTAAATAGGTCAGTTAAGAAAACTACCACACTAGCCTTTAGCTACAAGAACCCCTCTGAGCTACTTAGAAGAAAAGTGGGATATAAATGTAGTAATAATAAAACTAAACTAAAGTTGGAGATTTCTGTCAATTTAGCCCTCTCCTAGGCTAAGCAGCGTCACCATGACAGAAAAAAAAACTATGGAAAAAGAATACACAATGTCTTGTAGGCGCATTTTACCTGAGCCTGAGAAAGAACATGTACCTTCCCTTTGCTCAGGTTTAGTTCCCATGGATTTCAATGATATTTACTTGGTATTAAGCATGGCTAGAAATGCAGCTTAAACTAGTCTACAATTCACTATCTATATAAACCAGGATTGCTCATTAAAGAAATGCAATAAAACCCATTTATACAACAATCTGTCTGCTCTTGAAGCTTAAGTACTTATTTCAAGTTCACAAAATGAGTAAGGAAAAACAGCCAATGGAGTGCAGTGCTGCATGTTGTTCTGGGGGTTCTCCTAACCTTCTCAAGCAGATTGGGGGGGGGGTGGACTTGCATTGCACCAGTGGGATTCATTGCACTGATTTCCACTACCACAACAACTCTGTTGAATCTCCCACTCGCAGAGTTTCAAAAACTGCTGGCCCATCATGGCCCTGGATACGTCTACCTAATTACCTGACCAGGGGAATAAAAAGAGAAATAATTATGATTTACCATCCCATCCCCTTGCTGCTTTACAGACATTCCTTTATTTGCAAAAAGGATGGAGCGTCTGTGGAGCGTCTGTGGCCCTCCAGATTTGGTGGACCCCAACTTCCATTAGCATAGCAATGGTCAGGGATGGTGGGAGTTGTAGTCCAGCAGCATCTTGTGGGTCAGTTTCCCCAATTTAAAGGAATACTAGTCTAGCAACTTCATAAATGCGTTACAACCACATGTACTTTTTCTGTGCATTTCCACTGTCAGCCATGGAGTCCACTGAGTAGGCCATCCATTTCAATGCTTTAAACAAATTTAATGCCATTAAGTCAAATACATGTGCAGCCCAATGCTATGAACGTTTACTCAGGTGTAAGTCCAACCGAGTTCAATTAGACTTACGCCCAATGAAGTGTTTCAATAGAATTGTAGTCCTCTCCAGACATGAAAAGCTTCCAAGTGTTTTCAAAGCGCATGAGACCACAGAAACAAACCCCTATCCTTATACTGGGCTGGAGAAGGAAAGGGGCTCATCCTGTTGCTGCAATGAGCTTCACTCCCAAGAAGCTTCACTCCCAAAGCTCAATCAGAGACCCTGTTGCAGCCCAGGGTCAACCATTACTAAGCCCAGACACAATTACCAGAGGCTGTAGAAATCAAATGTGAAACTGCATTACTGTGGTATGGATCAACTTTAAAAACTCAACATTAAAACTGTTCTGAGAGGAAAACGTAGAACCCGTTATTTCCAAAACTAATGAAGCAAGGGATAAAATTATGTAGCTGTCAACTATCACATGCTACAAACTACTGCCTTTTCCTTTTCTACACACTGCGAAGAGTCAGACGACAATAGGGAGAACTCATATTTATCTTGCTGCACAATCAGCAGGTTTCCCTTCCCACTTTCTTTGCTTTATAGTCTCCCTCTTGCTGACTTGTCAGGATCTCCTCAACAGTGCTCTGTATTTAATCACAAAGCTTCATCAGCATTACTACTTTATTTTGCCTTCTGGTCTTTAGGGAAAGGTGACTAATTACAGAAAGAACTAGAGAAGGCTACTAGTAGCAGGTATGTAAAACTCAGCCATATACCTTTGTCAATTTAAATATATTTCTGCACCATAATTAATAGCAGGAATTATAAACTTATTGTGGAGGATTTGGGGTAGTGGTGGCTGTTTGCAATGTAAATTCTGATTTGCAGGTGCAGTTAAAGGTCATTCTGAAGTTTCCTTATAATTAAAGCAGCTTTCAAAATATAGGGTTGGGGGGGATAAAAGTTTATGTTTTTTGAAATACATATTGCTCTACATTTCTCCTGATTTCTAAACTACTGTCGAACATTCATCATAGGATCTAGAAATCATTGTATTTTTAGAATTAAGGGTTTGCATGTGTTTCCTCCATGATCTCTTTGCATTTGCTCCTTCAACAAAGTATCCCCCCCCCTTCAGTGCAGATTCATTAAACAAAGTAGTTCTTTATTCTCCAGTAGATGGTACTAAGACAGGGAATGGGCAGGACTGCTGTGGTCATAGCATCAGAGAGCTATTTTTGTTTAATAAAAAAACCCCAATGCATTTTTTTAATGAAGAGAGATCTTTACACTCAAGAGAAGTTGTTTCTACGACTTATACTGCTGAGAAAGCATCCTGAATCTCCCATTTAGCAGTAAGTACTGAACTTCATTAGACTCTGTACATTACAGTTTATGGTGTTTAAAAATGTTCTAACCAAACATTGCAGTTTAATGTGCGTGTAATTTAGTCTGCTTCTAGCAGTTATTGGGATAAGCTACCATTCCTATTGTCATCAAGCTTGTTTTAATTTTTAAAGCTGCTGAAATGCAAAATCTGAAGCAAAGATGAATAGTAAAAGAATGATGGGTAGACAGTGCCACGCAGGGATGGCTCCATTTCCCACCCTCGCAGCCTATGAAATGGATGTGGAGTAAACAGGGGCACCTGCTCTGTGGCAGATCCATGGGTTGGTTGGTAGCCTGCTGGTCCCACAGAAATATAGACCTAGTTAACAAGTCAATCTCTTTTGCTGAGCCAAGCAGCTCTTTAAAGATGCAGCAAACTTTCAAGCTATATAAAACTATATTGTGGAAAATTGAGGCTATGAGAGGGTAGAAAGGCTCTTGCATAACTGTTTTAGGTTGGACTGTTTTAGAAGCAGATATATCTGTAAGCTGCCTTGAGTCCTGGTCTAAGAGAAAGGTGGCATAGAAATAAATGAATAATAATAATAATAATAATAATAATAATAATAATAATATAACAGGACAGCTCTCCTGACCAACTTCTCTTACTGATGCCAACTTCTCTTACTAATTTCTCTTACTGATAAATTAATAAAGCAAAATTTCCTGAAGCTGTCAGAACCAATCAAGATTTTCTGCCATGGCAGCAGTTCCATAAACTGATCACTAACTGGGTGTCACACTTTTCAAAGACTACCAGAAGGGCAGGAAAGAATGTGTATCTCTGCACTGGTGGCAAATGGGGCAGATAACTAAATACAGTTTCTCTGCTGAAAGGGGGAGAGAGGGCATGGAAACAGAAAATTGTTCTGAGTAGCCCAGGTGATATTTGCTCCCCTTGGTCTATGACACAATCAAAAGATGCCAAGAGAACTTCACATCTGCCAGAAATTTCTTTTAATGTACCTTTTGAAAAAAGAAGTTAAATTTTGGATCACAGGGGACAGACAGTGACTCCCTTCTCTACACAAGTTGCCGTATAATGTGTGTGGTGGGTAGTGAAAAGGGTACTTTGGCTCATACAACAGAAGAGATGGCAATTAGGGTTTGTGGGGAACTGAGCAAGATTTGTTTAGAAAGCTTATTAAAGTGCTTCTTTAGCTATAAAATCATTATCCAGAAAATAAAATACCTATTAAAGGACAGACAACATCAATTATATAAAATATATGTATAAAACTAATCTAGTTTCTTTCTCTGGTCCAAGTAAAAGTTAAAATCAGCAGATGTCAGTCATAACAGATATCATACAAATGCCCCCCCCCCAAAAAAAACCCAGGTGGGCAGACCCTTGTTCTAAGCTTGTTCTAAGCATAAGTGCACGCAATGCAGTATTTACAGAAAAGGTCAAAAGTTCTTTTTTCTTAAACCACTCTATTCTTCAAAATATCTACCTAAGCAGGTAAAAAAAAGGCTGTTTCAGCATAATGATGTTTACATGTTTTAAAGATGTTGGCAGCACATTTTGGATTCCAAGTCTTGTTATATACATGAGAAAAGCACAAGCTGAAGAATCCATTAATTACTGGATTCTGAATATGCTCAGGCTTGTATGTCAATTACATGCTGCTTTTCACAAGAGATGTTAGCTCATCTACCATTCAGTATAACCCCAGCCTTTCAAATTCAAATACATGTATTTTTTAAAAAAACCTAATCACACCAAGTCCTACTATTACTTCTATTATACAGGTTGGTTCCAAAGAGTACACACATATGCACTGAGTTAGACTACTGGCCCATGTGGGCCAGCATTGTCTGTTGCACTGGGTAGCACCCCGCCCCCTGAATACACTTTGTGCACTTTTCCACTGAACCCAAATGGTTTAAGAGGTACTGAACCCATGTCCATTTCAATGTGGCAGGAGATGGGATGTTTGCAGGTGGAGAGGACCTAAATGTAACACCTAGAGCAAAAATGTATTGGACTTCCCCAAGCCTTTCTGCTTTGACCTTCAAGTGGTTCACTGGTGAAGTCCTACCAAAATTAATGGACCTGCAATTTTATCCACCCTGTTACTACCGTAAGTGATACCACCCAACTGAAGTCACTGGCACTATTTAAAAGCTAAGAATGCCAGTAAGTGGTCTTATGAACAGCTAAATTAATTAGATGAGCTTGCATTCAATACTTTAGGATTAATAGTATAAAACTAATGACCTTTCTCTATAGTTAGAATGCTCAAACCTCCTCTCCTTCTAAATCCAATTCATGTGAATTGGAATTAAAAGTAATTATAACATTATTATTCTATAATTTTAATTATCATGGCTCTTTGTCCAACAAAATATATGAAACCTAGAGCTATATAAGAGTTTTCCATGTACCAGGCATCATTTTGACTGCAAGGAAATGATCCAGCTAATGTTAAGCACATTTAAGTGTCACTGATTTCAACGGCAGCATTGATTTCAGAGTTAACATGCAGCTGACCCTGCCATTTAAAACGAAATTTAAATGTACTTAAATTTAGCTGAATCATTCTTTCAGTCTTTAGCAATAGCTTTATTTCTTATTAGTTATTGTGCTATATCAGAGGTGGTTAGTTTAAATCAAGGGATAGGGTAAATTTAAGTTTCTAGTCCAGGCGTTGGCAACGTGCAGCCCACAAAGACTGTTTTACCGGCCCACAAGCCGCCCAACCGAACCGTCTGCTTGGCAAGTCCCCAGCGTGCTGTGCTAAACCAGTGTAGCGCGACGCCGGAAATGGCATCTGCGCACGTGCAGATACCAGAAATCGCTTCTGTGCATGTCCAGACGCTGAAAATTGCTTCTGTGCAGGCACGCTTTTCGGCATCTGGGCATGCACAGAAGCGATTTCTGGCGCCGCGGACATGTGCAGACACGATTTCCGGCATTGCACTGCGCCAGTCCAGCCCATGGACGATCTCTGTTGGAGTGATCTGGCCCATGGCCAGTAAACCTTGCCAACCCCTGTTCTAGTCCTTAGGAATTTCAAGCTCTATATGGCCAACACAGAAGTTTGAGCTTTGCTCTTCAGAAAATAGTAAGGAAACAGATTTTTTGTAAAACAACAACTTGGGACCTGTTTACCTGAAAGATTGCCTTAATTCATATATGTCTACTCCAACACTTTGATATGAAGAACTGGCACTGTTACAGGGAGCACATAATACCTATTCTGCATTCGTAAGAAAGCAATCTTTTAGTGCTGCAGCACCCATGCTTTGGAACCCCCTGCCTATTGACATCAGACAGGGGCCTTTACTGTGCTCTTTTTGATGCCTGCTGGAATCATTTTTGTTTAGATATGCCTACTCAGATGGGCAGAAAGAACGCTGATGTGTGTTTTAATCTGTTTTTAGTTTACCACTGATTTATTTTAAAAAATAATTGTTTTAACTGCTTTTATTGATCATTTTATTCTTTTTGTAAACTGCTGAGGTTGGTTTTTTTAAAAAAACAACGAAGTAGTGTACAAATTTTATGAGATAAATATATAAATAAAAGAGCACTTGCTGAACCATTAAAAACCATGTGAATGGGGAAAAGATTATACTGACCTAAATTTCCAAGGATTAAAATTTCCTATGGAAACTGGGAAGAAAGTATATACTTACAAGCCATTGCTTTAGTTAATTGTAGATTTGAATAGATACCTTATTCTACTTTTGTGCCACAGAAGCGAGATGGCCACTGAGGGCAAGAATAGCTCAATTTTGTATTTCTGTGTTTTTTAGCATTTACATGATCCTAGTCTTGTGCCTTCAGTGTTTCAATTTGAGTTTTCTTGAAGTGGCAGAATATTGAAGGGTAGTTCCTTGTGCTCAGTCGCTCACACACTGTTCATTTATAATCATTTCTGTTCAAGTGCCCTGTGTACAGCTGCTCTGTGCTTTTGTAGCCTTCTCATCTGCTGCAGGGTCACGTTCAGTCATTCATTCAGATAGCAGTGATTTTAAATGCAAGTGTTCTAGTTTGCTCATTTCTCTTTCCTTTGCCCCTGCCACTTCCCCCCTTCCTCCCCCTTCTATCACATGCGGACAGCTATAGCCGTGGCTGGGGAGCCATCAGGCATACAAAGGTTTACAACAGGAGAGAAACAGGCAGACAAAAGGTGACAGCACATCTCATCATGGCATCAGCAGCTCTACAGTTCTTTGCTTTCATTCTAGCCTTGTTTGGCGTTTTCGGTGCAATTACAGCCACCTTGTTGCCCAACTGGAAGGTGAACGCAGACGTAGGTTCAAACATCATCACAGCCATAACTCAGATGCAAGGACTCTGGATGGACTGCACATGGTACAGCACCGGGATGTTTAGCTGCACGTTGAAATATTCAATCCTCTCCCTCCCTGTTTACATCCAGGCAGCACGGACCACCATGGTGTTGTCTTGCATCCTCTCCACTTTTGGAATCTGCATCGCCACGATGGGGATGAAGTGCACTCGGCTGGGAGGAGACCATGACACCAAGAGCCACACTACATTTGCAGGAGGAGTCTTCTTCATCCTTGCAGGTATATTCGGCTTGATACCAACAGCCTGGTACACGAGAGAAATCATTTCAAATTTTCTGGACCCAACAGTCCCAGAAAGCAGTAAGCATGAACCAGGAGGAGCAGTTTACATTGGATTCATTTCAGCAGGACTTCTGCTCACTGCAGGTGCCATCTTTGGCACTTCCTGTTTTACAAAGCAGCAAAGAACATGGATTTATCCCAACAAAACACAGCAACAGTTCCCAGCTGCCCAGCAAGAGAACAACACAGGCTACAACCTGAAGGATTATGTGTAAATACAGTTGCCGGTCTGTCACTCAAGGCTCCTGCTCAGTTGTTGGGGGGGGGGGGGGTGCTTATTGTAGTTCTGGGTTTTTTAAAATATAGAAGAAAGTTTTTTGTTCTTGATGCAAGTGTCATAATTACACTCTGGTATGGTACAGGGGGGGATTTAAATCACTGCAGCAACCATTAATTTATGTTGATATTGCTTTGCAACTGAATTGTATTCGAAAAAAACAAACAAAAAGAACGGTAAAAATGCGTACTGTACAGGTTGTTGTTTTTTAGCATGCGAAAGTTAGATATCTGTAATGTGGCTTACTTAATTTCAACACAACTCTAATTTTAATTAGGATACCCGCCAAACCTACTCTGCCTTTATGTGAAACCCTATGTATTGTTTTTAAAATTGTAGCTTTCATTGTCAATACCCAACTACCATGGTAACTAAATTTCTTCATTTAAAAACAAACAAAGCCTCGTGTATTTGCATATCAGAGGCTGAAGACACTGCTTCAGTTGTTGCCAAAGCTGCCCCCTCATCTCCTGACCACCTGCAGCAGATTCCATTTTTATGTTTTTTAAAAAAATGTCTACTTAGCAGTCTGCAGCTAATTGAAGGGTTAGACACAGCTCAGGACTAAGAAATGGGTGTATCAGCAGCAGCCTCTGTAACTAAAAGAAACTTAAACCCTCCAATTTCATGCTCCACTTTAAAAATATTTTTGTCTTCTCCTTGACTTCTGTATGTTATACCCAAGTCACTGCATGATTTAACTAACCAAAATGCATCTGTTCCCAATCTGTTCAGGGCTTCAGTGTGATTTTAACCTGTACATCATTTGGTTTCTTTAAATCCTTTATTTTATGCAAACTATTTATTATTGGATCAGAGTTACTGGCAATCTGGCACACACAGAGTTCTTGCAGGTGATAGCAACTCAGTTTGCAATTACTTTGTCAGCATGATTCACTTGGTTAATTTGCCTTGATTCTCATAACCTTCTTTTTAACATGCTGAAATGATTATTAGTCACTGTGGGGAACCCCTCATTTCTATTCAGCAGGCGAGGCAGAGTTTGAATCCTTTGGTACCGTATTTTTCGCTCTATAACACGCACCCGACCATAACACGGACTTAGTTTTTAGAGGAGGAAAACAAGAAAAAAAATATTCTAAACGAAACAGTGGATGTATGAGTTTTGTGGTTCATGCTGTGGCCACAGACATGTGATCTGACAGTGAGTTTGGAGTAGCCCAATGCAAAAATCCTGAGGATCCATGTGGATCCATGCTTTGTAACCAAGTTTTTGCACCACTGTGGTCCCAGGCAACAGTGGGTGCGTGATTTTTTTGGTGCAAGATGTAGCCATGGACATGCTATGTGATCTGATGGTGAATTTGGGGTGACCCAGTGCAAAAATACTGAGGATCCATGTGGATCCGTGCTTTGTAACCACGTTTTAAGTGGGGAGGGAAGGAAAAGCACTCAAGGGACAAGGAGCATGCGTGGTGTGGAGAAGGATGCTGCTAATAATGCAGAAGAGGGGTTTAAGGGGAGAAGAAGCACGCGTGGGGTGGGTGGAGGATGATGCTGCTAATAATGCAGAAGAGGGGTATAAGAGGAGAAGGCTCCTCTCCTCTCCTCTCCCACTTTGCTCCTTTAAAGCAAGCAGGCTCTGCTTTTCTCCCTCCTCCCCGCTCATCCCTGGCTTAGCGAGCTGAAAAACTTTGCTGCTATGCAGCGAGCTGAGTGGGGAGGAGAGAGGGACAGAGAGCCTGCTTGCTTTAAAGGAACCAACCGGACAGGAGCCGCTTACACTTGTGTAAGTGGCTCCTCTCATCTCCCACTTTGCTCCTTTAAAGAAGCAGGCTCTCTGTCCCTCTCTCCTCCCCACTCAGCGGCTCTTCTCCCGCTTTGCTGTTTCAAAGCGAGCCACGGAGGAGGGAAGGAAGGGGAACCATGGATTCTCTGCTCACGACTGCAGCACATCCCCCCCCCCCGCCACCCGTAGGCATTCCCTCCATAACACGCACAGACATTTCCCCTTACTTTCTAGGAGGAAAAAAGTGAGTGTTATGGTGCAAAAAATATGGTATATAAGGGAAGGAATAGAAAAGAGATTTTTGGGCCATAACTTGGGACACGTGTAAATTTGCATACACACAGATATTCTAGTGCAAATATAATGAGTTTACATTTCACTAAAGAATATGGCTTGGCCTCTTGTAAAAGATGAGTAAGATTATTAGTTCCATATTAGTTTTAATTTTTCTACCCATCTTTCAAATATTAGCTCTGAGTTGGAGATGTGAACAGCTCTTCATAGAAAAGGTACAGGAAAAGGGCACCAAAATGAAAAGGGAGCTGAAGTAACTCCCATACTAAGAAATGTTGCAACATTTGGGTCTTCTTAATTTACAAAAAAGGTAAGAGGGGACATGCTAGAGGTGTATAAAATAATGTCTGGTGTGAAGAGAGACGTTTTCTTGCTCTTTCATACTACTAGCTACTAGCCAGGTTCATTGAATAAGGCTGAAAGGTGGGAGATTCAAGACAGGAACTGTTCACGCACTGCATAGTTAAACTGTGGAATTCACCATCACAAGATGTGGTGATGGCAACAAAGTTAGACGGCTTTAAAAGGTGATTAGACAAATTCACAGAAGATAGGGCTATTAATGACTACTAGCAAAGATGGCTATAGACCACCTTCTGGATCAGAGGCAGCATGCCTCAGTTGTTTGCAAACAACAATAGGGAAAGGTCTATTGCCCTAGTGTCCTTTTTGTGAGCTTTACAGGCAAGTCTAGCTAGCCACGTGTGAGAAACAGAATGTTGGACTAGATAGGCCTTTGGTCTGATTCAGCAGGGCTCTTAATCAAATGTGAAACGTGTGTTAAAATTCAAGAAACTTGTTTCATTACCCACTATAGATTGATGGACAGACAGACCAAGAATGTACCAAAGTTATTTGGTGATTGCAGTGGTTCAATCTTAGGTCTGTAAATAATAAGGTGTCTACCCCCCCCCCCACCGCCAACAACTCTTTTAGGATGAATAAATAAATACTGTCTTATTTTTATTGCAAATACCTGTGATACCTAAACAAGCTCAGGTGTGTTTTGGGGCTTTTTACAGTCCAATGTATATATTTTTTCTTAAAGAAAAGATATGCCAAAACTTAAACCAGGAAAAAGAAGATTCACAGAAATATTAATGTTGCTACTTGGTCATTAAGATAAAGATCAAGATCATGGTATGAAAGGAAAACCAAATACAGAATCCTCCATATGTACGACACCCACAGAGTAAGACATATAATCCAGACCACATTGCTCCCCCAACAGGGAGATCCAGGAGCAAACATAGACCCCAGAAGAGAATACAAGCTCTTCTGAGCTACACTGAGCTACAAGCTTGAACGTAATAGTTATTCCAAAGCAGTCTCAATTATTTCAGTGGGTTTAATTCTCAAACAAACAGTGGTGGTTTACCAGTGTAAGCAGTAAGGCCATCATTTTCTCCAATGCATATTCTCAGCTCTCTTTAGAATACATCAGAGATCAAGAAAGTATTTGGGGGTTGGGCTGGGGGGGGGAGTTTCCAGCAAAAATATAAAATATGATAGGAATCAGCCTGGCACTCTGAACTGCTTCTGTACACTTTGTGTATTAAGCATCCTATCTGTAGAATTATTTAAAAGTTTGCAAAACTGAAACATATTGTCTGAACTTAAGGACTGAAAGGCAAGCTTGGAAGGTTCCATTAGCACAAATAACACAATATTAGAGCACTACAGGGTCATTCCAGCTAAACGCTTAACAGGCTCAGCTTTTAAAAAAAGAAGTGAAAATACTCTGACAGAGTCTACAAAGACACAGTGCTGAAAAATGACACCAAGCAATTGCTGCCAACAAAACCATGTCAGAGCAAACGAAATGCCACATACAGAGAGACAGAGAAGGAGAATAGTCATTAACAGTGAGCACCATCCCTAAAGGCATATATTCTTGCTACAACATTCACATAGAAAGACACATCCAGTACAAAGGAGGGGGGGGGATAGAGCACCATCAGAAAAAGAGCAGATGGCACCACATACTAATGCAAATGAAATTAACATACACAACTCTCCATTGGTGATCTCAAAAGACACCACCATGGTGATCTCAAAAGACAAAACAGATCTGCAAGACAAACAAGTACCCTGTTGCTGGCACAAATGAACATTAGCATGACACAACAACAGCACATGGCTCAATAGGCCAAGAGAAAAAAGCACAGACTAGCTCAGTCTCTGTTCTTCTCTCCTACAGATGAAAAAGACCATCTCCACTATGCAAGAAACAGGAATTATCACAAAGGGACGCGGGTGGCGCTGTGGTCTAAACTACAGAGCCTAGGGCTTGCCGATCAGAAGGTCAGCGGTTTGAATCACCGCGACGGGGTGAGCTCCTGTTGCTCGGTCCCTGCTCCTGCCAACCTAACAGTTCGAAAGCACGTCAAAGTGCAAGTAGATAAATAGGTACCGCTCCGGCGGGAAGGTAAACGACGTTTCCGTGCGCTGCTCTGGTTTGCCAGAAGCAGCTTAGTCATGCTAGCCACATGACCTGGAAGCTGTACGCCGGCTCCCTCGGCCAGTAAAGCGAGATGAATGCTGCAATCCCAGAGTCGTCTGCAACTGGACCTAACCGTCAGGGGTCCCTTTACCTTTAGGAATTATCACACCTGATATCCAGAATGTCTTACACAGAAAACATTCTTCTATTTCCCACCAAATTCTGAGAATCCCCAAGAGTACTCTTCAGTGTTTATAGAGGGGTATTTCCAGATGCACAGAGAATGGGGGAAAGGCAACACTGTACAGAAAACCTCGCAACCTACATGGGGGTTACATTTCAGGGACAGTACCTAAAGCCAAAATCAAAAACAGTCAAACCTCATTGGGTTCAATGGCAGGTGGACTTGCCAAAGCCTTTTTTCCTGGAACTATGCCCCCTTTCTATTTTTTTTTAACTGCCACACACTTAAATCTGAATGTGCGTAAGTTGCAGTACATTTAAGTTGCAGGTTTGCTGTTACTGCATTTAGAAATAAAATAACTTTCATGCATTAAGCTTCTTACAGTACTTGAATGACTTCTGATTGTTTCAACCTGACAATGTAGATCAGTCTTGGGCTACTACATAACCACTACCGCTAGGAAATTTGCCTTGCTTCTGTATCTCTTTAGTACAATAACTACAACCCATCATCTCATTACTAAAAGCACGAATGATTGATTTAGTGTCCATACCAACCTTGTTGAGTGAATTTATGAAACGTGTTTGACACATTTGTATCCTAGTTTCCTTCCAAGGAGTTGAGAACAGCATACATACAATTTATCAGATGAGGGCCAATAAACTGAGACTGAATCCCAATTAAAACATGAGGTTTTGTGGCTTGGTTGTTTCAAGATCCAAGAATTAAGCAGGTGCATTGATTAATATCCCAGATTAATCTCCCAATTAATACTCAATTGACTCTGCACTACTGAGAAAATTTCTGCTTATCATTTTAAGTCACCTCCAAATCAGCTTCAAGCAAGTTTGATTGGCTCCACTGCTGTTAGTGTTCAGGAGCTTTTCAAAGCAGCATCTGACAACTGGGCTTGTAGCAACTGAGTTGAAAATGACCACATCAATTTACAGTGGTACCTCTGGATGTGAACGGGATCCGTTCTGGAGCCCTGTTCGCATCCTGAAGCGACGTCTGCGCATGTCGCGATTCACCGCTTCCGCACATGACGCTATTTTGAGCGTCTGTGCATGCACAAGCAGCGAAACCCAGAAGTAACGGCCGCAGAGCGTAACCTGAAAACGCTCAACCTGAAGCATTTAACCCGAGTTATGACTGTATATTCATAGCAGTGCTATAGGTTCATTCATCCTCTGCTAGTGCCAAGCTTAATCTTCAAGTCTGCATTCCTAGTCTGGTATTTGTCACCTCCCTAAACCTTTACTTAGATCCCATGTTGACTGTAACTGGCTACTAATCCATGGGCAAAAGCAGCTTTTCAGATTACATTCTTTCTCTGGGCATCTGTTGGTCAATCCTCAAAGTGCCAGTTAGCTGTAAATCTTTAAATTCGTGGTACTGTCACTGATCAACACTAATGCCTATAGTTTCAGGAATTCTGTGCAATTCATTTTGCTTTGAGGGATTTTCCTCACATAGCAGGAATCACTTTACAAAGGCAGGCTGTATTAAAATTGCAACACCATTTGAAAAGAGGTACCATTTGCAAGGCCATGGTTCAAAATGGTCAGTTTGAAGAATTACTCAAAAAGAAGTTGGTGATATAATTACTCAGTCTTTTTGAATTTCAAAATATCACAAACAAATCATACTAGCAATCCAATTCTGATACATATTCTTCAGCAACAATATTACTGTAACGTGCTGGCTGATGTATTGACCCATCTCTTGCTTTTGGCTATGAGACTGGTACAAGAAAACTCCTAAAGCTATGATAAAAACCACACACACACGATTTGCCTGATGAATTCCTGTCCTTCGCAAGAGCAGGGGGCAGGCAACTCTAGGCAATATTTGCCTCAGGTGGATACAGTCAACGAGCAATTTCCTTTTCAGGATCTTTGGATCTAAATCTATAGTTGTGTGTGATTTCAGCACTCATTCAGTCCAATTTCTCAGAATCAGACAGCACATTCAGCTTGCATTTATGTGCTGGTGGCTTTGCCATTTTAAGTTTGAAGATTTAATTTCTAATTCTTAGTACTAAAGAAAGAAGAGACTCACCTCTGGCTTTGGAACAAAAGCTCGACCTGGAATTGTGAAACACTTGTGAACAGTGCACAAGTACTGAGACATAATGGAAAGTCTGCTTCGCTGCCTGGCTCCTGTACTAGCTGTCAATCTCTGTGAAAGAAAACCACTTTTTGGTGAGTAAATTCATTCCAGCTAATTAAGCATTAACTTCTAGAAATTTAACAGGTGATATTTAACTCGCAAAAAACAGAAGAGACTTTCAGAGCATTCTCTTAATCAGAAAAACGATCAAAAAGCTTCTGAAGATGTCCATTAATGTCTAAAAAGGGCATGCGTTTTATTTATTTATGTACCCCCCTTCACACAAGCCACAGGCATATAGATAGGCATGGGACGCGGGTGGTGCTGTGGGTAAAACCTCAGCGCCTAGGACTTGCTGATCGCATGGTCGGCTGTTTGAATCCCTGCGGCAGGGTGCGCTCCCGTCGTTCGGTCCCAGCGCCTGCCAACCTAGCAGTTCGAAAGCACCCCCCCCGGGTGCAAGTAGATAAATAGGGACCGCTTACCAGCGGGAAGGTAAACGGTGTTTCCGTGTGCTGCGCTGGCTCGCCAGATGCAGCTTGTCACGCTGGCCACGTGACCCGGAAGTGTCTGCGGACAGCGCTGGCTCCTGGCCTCTAGAGTGAGATGAGCGCACAACCCTAGAGTCTGTCAAGACTGGCCCGTACGGGCAGGGGTACCTTTACCTTTACCTATGATAGGCATATAGATTTTTAAAACCAATAATCCTTATAAACACGTAACAAAGCAAAGGGCCCAAGCTGGGCTGGAAAGGACAATCCCAGCCACAAGGGGCTTGCAGTCCATGCTAATCAATGCCAAGAGCAAACCCTTTTTTCAAGAGGGATCAGCACAGCTCAGGAACACAACTGGAACCAATCCCAATAGGGCTTCCACTTAGCATCAAAGTTAGGCCTACTGGACCAATTGCCCAGATATCCCCATATCTATGATGCAAGTAGTGAACATAACTTCACTATGGGTCTCATACAGTCATACCTTGGGTTTAATGTGCTTCGGAATTAGCGCGTTCGAGTTGTGCTCCGCGGCAACCCAGAAGTAACGAAGCGCGTTACTTCCTGGTTTCGCCACTTCCGCAAGCGCAGACGCTCAAAATGACGTCACGCACATGCGCAGAAGCCCCCGAAACGTGACCCACGCACGCGCGGACACGGGTTACGTTTGCTTCTAGATGTGAACGGGGCTCCGGAATGGATCCCGTTCACATCTAGAGGTACCACTGTACAAACAAGAAAGGTCCCTTTGTTCGTTAAAGAGTTTTTCATCTAGCAAAGGTATCAGATAATGAAAGATGAAATAAGTTTTCACCAATTCCCCCTTTGCCCTAAAGCTCCCAGCACCATTATCCACAATGTACTGAAGGGTTTCCCAACCCACCAGATCAGATCTTTGGGACACAAAAGAGGCAATTGGCAAAAATCACCTCTTCTGTTAATGGAGGTATCTGTTGGGTCAAAAGCCCTTCTGCAAATGGACCTGCATAATTGCATTCAACTTGTTATTCCTGGGACTGGACACTTAGAGCTTATTACTGCAGTGTAATGTTATCTGCACTGGCATATCTGAGCTCAGTTCAAGATACTGGTTCTTGAAATAATGCCTTCTGAACTGGGTATTTGGATGACTCCTCTATATACGCCTCATGTATTCCATTTAACACATGAAGACTGTAGTTTGGTGTATGTCTATCAGAAACAAGCTCTTTCCAACAGGTAAGCTCTCCCCAGTAATTTCAGGCATCAGGCTTTTTCAGAAGTCTTTAGGGACTGGCTGAAGTTGTCTTTAGGGACTTATTTCTATGGTTGCATTTACAAAAAAAGAACAATGTTGGGCCAGAAGCAGAGAAACAAGAATTAAAATCTTCTCTTAGTCATGAAGATCAGACATTGCATCCCTCATCTCTCTCAGGGAAACCTACTTCACAGGGATATTGTGAAAATAATGAAAGGAGGAATAATGTACAAAAGCCTGAGCTCTTTGAAGAAAGGACTGAATAAAGATGTACTTAAACTTGAAAGTGTGGGGAGAAAAGCTTTTAAAGACCAGAAAACTTCCACCAAATCTAGCTCATTCTATTACCATGATCATACCACTGCATTTCCTGTAGCTTTGTTCCTAGCAGACAAGCACAAGAAACTCACTGTGCATGCTATTTTCCATCTCATTTAAGCTACATTTTGTGCAGAAGCACTATAATCTACATGTCACACATAAGGGAAAAAATTGATCACATATACAGCTGGTTACAGCTATATAAAGCACAGACTCTTTATTTCCTCCTAGCTGCCAACATACTGTTCCCTTTCATTTCCAACCTATTTCAGAATTACAAGTCTCATCCACTGGCCAGATCACTAAGCTTAGAAAGCAGTTCACACTATCAAATATTTCAGCAAATCCAACACAGCATTTGTGCCAGAAACCACGTGGATTGAAAACTGATAAAAGGGATTTGTTTTGTCTCACAACTGCAGCATCTTAAGAGGTTGGTGCCGATGATGATCCTTATATCATGGCAATAACATTAGGAACTGATATTCAACATTCATAAATTGCACTATGTAAGATGCAATATATAAAAGGCCATCTTCAATACCAAATATGACTGAAACAGTGACTTCAAGGTGCTGGTAGCATACACACTTCCAAGGGGAGGAAGTGCCACAGACAAGGTGCCACTACAGAAATTAGCTCATTCAGTGTCACTACACTGGGCAGCTTTCACTGGTGGTACAAAGAGTCTTCACTGCATTTCTTAAGGCTCCAGCAAGATCATATAGGGAGAGGAACTTGCTCAAGTATTTGGATGCCAAGTGGTTTAGAACTTTATAAGTTAACAACATTTTGAACTGGGGTTGGTAGTGCAGATTCTGCAGAACTGGAGATATGTTCTCCTAGTACATTGTACAGTGGTGCCTCGCAAGACGAAATTAATCCGTTCCGCGAGAGTCTTCGTCTAGCGGTTTTTTCGTCTTGCGAAGCAACCCTATTAGCGGCTTAACGGATTAGCGCTATTAGCGGTTTAGCGGCTATTAAAGGCTTAAAGGCTTAGGGATTAGCTGCTAAAAGGCTATTAAAGGCTATTAAAGGCTTAGCAGATTAGATAAAGGGGGGGAAAAGCGAAAAAAAAATCTCTAGACTCGCAAGACATTTTTGTCTTGCGAAGCAAGCCCATAGGAGAATTCGTCCTGCGAAGCAACTCAAAAACGGAAAACCCTTTCGTCTAGCGGGTTTTCCGTCTTGCGAGGCATTCGTCTTGCGGGGCACCACTGTACTAATAAAAATTCTGGTGGCCATACTGAAAGTTTCTGCTTCCAGACCATGTTGAAAGATAGCTTCAAAAGAGTGCATTACAGTAATCTAGTTGAAAGGTTAACAGAGGATGGATTACTGCGGCAAACTTATTCTGGTCCTGGAGTGGTTGTAGCTTGTGAATGAGCTGCAGCTAGAAATAGGCACTCCTTGCCACTAACACCACCTGGGCGTCAAAAGACAATGATGGATCAAGAAGTATCCCTAAACAATGTACCAGCTCCTTTGGGAGGAGCACAACCCTGTCAAGACTTGGCTATCTTATAAATTTCTGGAGAAGAGAACCAATCAACAATTTAGCTTAGATATGCCTTAATTTAGAGAATTTGTACTTGCAGAGTTGCCCTCCTAAAATGGTGAGCAAGCTCTGCCATCAACCAAATTTTGGGCGACCAATCTTGAAGTCAGAAAACAGAGTTAGGAGTGTAATTCCAGTCACAACATTTAGTTACTTTTATAGCTCAGTGCATAGGAGGCATGCATGAAGAACCCATGGGATCACCAGAAGAAGGGTTCAAGTCTGTAAGAATACTGCAGGAGAGTTATTTTGCTGCTAAGTGTGAGGGGAACAAGCTTTTGCAAAGGAGGGGACCACAGTCCCAAGGAAGAACAGAACCCACAACAGGAAGCACAAGGGTCCACCACCACATACTCTTTCCAAAATGGAATTATTGCCACATACTTCCATAAGAGGTGCACCGTATCTGCCACAGGTGACTTACAAAGGCAGAACCTATTATGTATGGATTTACATACTAAACAGGCACAGTGTTGGTCCCAAGTTTCCACCCAACTCTTGCTCTTTCCCCACAAAAAGAAACCCTGATCTCTTGCCATATACTAGATTCACCCATTTTTTGTCCCTACTCTGGAAGTTTATTGCAAGTGTTTTGATTATGCTGGCACAAATGTATTGTTAATGCAAGCCCCCCCCCCCGACAAAAAAACAGCACATAGCACTGTGCTCAAATAGCCTGGGGGACTCATGGGTAGGATCGTTCTGTTGGACTCTGATATGCATAGTCTAAGTCAGCTACTTTGACAGATGTCCCTAGTTTTTGTCAGGACTTGCTTATGAAGCTAGTAGTAGTAGTAATACTAGTAGTACTAAGCTATTTATTTATTTATTTTGTTTATTTTTCTTTAGGAAGAAGAAGAAGAAGAAATGGATTCCCCTTGGAATGGTTGTGGATGAAAGTGGTAAGGGTTCCACTACTGTGTTTTCATCCTAAGAATGAATTCAGTAAAACGAAAAGCCAGAACTAAGGAACTTCAAAATAATACCTCTTGCACTAGGAAGAATTTAGTCTAACTTTTATATTAGCACAGCATGCAATATAATTTTTGTTACAAAAAGTTTTTCCCTACAAATCTTGAAGATTGAAAGAGCAACACACTAAGATGTACAGCAGGGGTCAGCAACATGAGGCCCATGGGCCAGATGCAGCCCACGAAGACCATTTTACCGGCCCACGAGCCATCCCTGAACCAAGCTAAACCAGCACAGCGCAGGGACTTGCTGAGCAGCGCCAGAAATCGCGTCTGTGCATGTGCAGATACTGGAAATCGCTTCTGCGCAGGTGCGATTTTTGGTGTCTGGGCATGCGCAGAAGCGATTTCCAGTACTGTGGACATGCGCAGATGCCATTTCCGGCACCGCGCTGCGCCGGTCTGGCCCACGGACGATCTCCGCAGGAGTGATCCAGCCCATGGCCGGTCTCAAAGAAAAAAACAGAAGCAAAATACAACTAAGACATTTCTTAATTTACATATTAGATCTGTTTCTGGTTTAATAATTTATAAGGAAGTAAGAACCAAACTTACCTCCCCAACTTCCTTCTGAAAGGTCAATGTCATCTGTGTTCTACCATATCTAAAAGGTCCATCTCTCTTTGATATATTCTCAAGCCACTTGATTATTAGGGGAGTTGAAACACTAAAAGGTAGATTTCCTATAATATGTATGTCTGGTGGATCTATAAGAAAGTGTGAAAGAAAACATTTTTTCATATCTCTATGTGATTAATTGATATTTATGTAAGAATGAAGCACATTTTCACTACGGGTGGGAATTTGCCACAAGATTTTACATATCTCTGCACCTATGGGAAGCAACCTTCATTTGGGCTTCCTTTGCTCTGTGCATTTCCATTATCTGGGACCATTAATTAGATCTGTTAAAAATGAACCTGTTTCTCCCCGCCTCCAAATTACTAAAAATAGCAATGTATTTCCCCTTTTTTGATATAAGGAGATGACATTTGCAGACATATGACCCCCTCCAAAATGGATTAAGTCTGCCAGTTGGTAGGCAGATACATCCAGCAACCATATTTTTACTATAGAGAATACAAACTATTCATTACCACCTGAATATTTTATCATGCCTGACGAGACATTTAGTGTCATGTCTAGTTTAGCGCTATGTTTGCTGAAAGATTCACACATCACACTGATGAAGCCTTGTCAAGGTATATGTAACCAACCAAAATAAATACAAAAGCAAGTTTAAAAAAATCTATTGGAAGGGGCCTGTCACAACTTGCTTGGGTTAGGCCCAGAAAAAATTCTGAGGGTCCCATACATTTTGTTTGTATGTTGTTGTTTTTAAAGTACACATTTTATTCAGGTGAATGTTAAAAAATGTGCAACAGATCTCCAAAATCTTTTTTTTCCTGTAATTTTTTCTTATTGGCTGAGGTTTCTGCCAAAAGTTAGGGTAGTAGGAAGGTTCAGTTTATTTTTCATAATGAGAATGCACTGTCCCTTCCTTTAGTAGCTTCTCAAGTTAAAAAGACACATGTTCAATCAATTACTAGTTTTTTTAATATCTGCATATGCCACTAAAACTGCAATCACTAACAGCTAAAAATATTTGATAGCAGGGTGGAAAGTGAATTATCTGAACCACAGTGGGAGAAGACCTGCAGATCAGGAATTTGAGACAAGTTTAAAATGGCAGTCTGGGAATGATAGGATAGGAAGGGGAAAGAAGTCTTCCTATCATCAATGTCTTCCATTTCCTCTCTAAACACACGAGATGTAACCGGCTGTGTTCTTAGATAAATAAGGTATACTATTCATAGTATCAAATTATAAATTTCAACGGAAGTAACTCATAAAGTTCAATAAATGAACAAAGCAGAAGACCCGGTGGATCAGATCATTCTTTAGTCAGTTCATGCATAAGGTCCATCCGTGTAATGGTGACTATTCCATCTGTCTGTTCGTAAAGTCCAAAAAATCCACATAAAAGGTTGCTAAAGTTCCACAAAATCCTTACACAGAGTCTAGACAAGGATTTCCAGAATATTGGCCTTGTTTCACCGTCCTGGGCTTCATCAGTACTTAAAGCTCTAAGTAATGCAAATAAATACAAGATCATGATCTCACACATTTTACAGCAAAAATAATATAAAACCATAAACAACTGTACATACCATATGTGACATTACAGGACAGTGGATCTTATGGAATAACAGTAGCTGCGGTAAGTAGCAACTGTTACAAAGTAGGGTTATATGGACAAGCACAAAATTGATTGCATTACAGGTGTTGGCAATCCACAGATACAAAATATCTTTCTTAAAGTGACCCATATGGCACAGCAAAAGTAAAACCAAACTTAATCCATGTTCAGATGATATACATGTAAACATTAATACAAACTCATACATAAATGTAAACAATTTTTGGATCTAAAGTATTGGCAATCCACAGATGCACAATTAAGTGCTCAAAATAAACCACTTGGAAACAAACTTAGTCCATGCTACATGTAAACATTAGTACAAATTCACACAAAAAAACAACTATAATCAATTCAGTATTCAGACCTGAGGGATGTAAGGAATTGAATAAGAAAAAAACCCAAGTTTCTTTCTGCATAAGGATTTTTTTTAGCTCGTTCTGCAGGACCTGAATACGTCCAAATTACAAAAAATGTCAAGTCCTCATTGGAATGAGATGCTTCAATAAAATGTTGCACTAAAGAAGCATTTATTACATTGTTCCTGATCCTAGATTGGTGTTCTGATATTCTTACTTATCCACAGGGACATCTAATCATGCACAGGCATTTGCCACATGTACTAATCCACGTGTAATTTACGTGATTAGATGTCCCTGTGGATTGTTGTATGTAGGTCATACTCTCAGACCTATCAAAGTAAGAATGAGAAGCATCTCATTCCGATGAGGACTTGACGTTTGTTGAACTTTATGAGTTACTTCCGTTGAAATTTATAATTTGATACTATGAATAGTATACCTTATTTATCTAAGAACACAGCCGGTTATGTCTCGTTTGAGTATGCTTTACATGACCATAGGTTTGTTTGTTGTTGTTTTCCATTTCCTCTCAGCAAGAATTAAACAGCTAGAAAGGAAACACCAAACTTCTAAACAAGAGTGAAACCAAGTGTCAGAAACTGGTAAATACCTTGAAATTGCATCTATACACTGTCAGAAGAACATGTGTAGAAAAATGACTGCTTCACAAGGTATTCACCAACCAGAAACAATATCCACAATTGCTTTGAGGAAGCATAATGTTGAGACGAGTATACCAGTCTCCTAGCACTCACAGATAACCGAAAATATACAGACCACTGAATGTTCCATTCATCCAATAAGCAGCTAGCCATTTTGATTACAGAAATCTTTTTTAAAAAACAGTATTCTGAATCACTGTAGTTCTAGCATACTAACCATCTTCCCAGTTCTTCATAAGGTGTTCTGGAAAAGCTTTGCCTAATTTATTATACGTTAAAATGTCTCCATGAACAATACGAACTTTTCCTGGAGCTGCATCAGACAACATCTGTGATTTAGCAAAGAAAAAAAAAGCAAGAATAAGAGAAGGAAGGGGGGGGAATAAAGTATAGAAAGAAGAAGAGGCAGAGACTACAAAGTCCTCTATCACAAATATATCTTAACCCTTATTCCACACACAGAAGAGTGAACCCTCTCAGCTCTCACCAGGGAGCTTCCCGCTCTTCCCCCAACCTCCCACCCTGGGAGATCCTCTTGACCCTGCCCCTCACGTAGGGGTCTTCATCTTCCATCCATCACCTTCCTGTGTGTATCTTTATATCAAAGCACGAACATGGGACAGATAAAGGCCTCAATATTCGTGATTAAGGGTGAGACTCAGATCATATTTACTGGAAAGAGAATACACTTAAAAAACTAACTACCTGCTGAATAAACAGGACTGTGGCAAAACAACTGAAATGTTATTTGGCACAGACTTAATAGGATATCCAACTTCTAAAATAGGATATTCAACGTTTAAAACAGCTAAAATTGGAAAATTACTATCAAAAGTCTTGTGAAACATTTGAATACCTGAAGCCCTGGAATAAAACGAGGATCTTTCTCAATTAACAGGACTTCTGCAACACCAGCATTCAAAATAGATCTTGTGATTCCTCCTGGCCCAGGGCCTACCTCGCACACATGCGCATCTTTCAGACTACCAGCTTTTCTCACTATCTTATCTGCAAGAAAGGACACACAAATTAGTTCATCCTCAGTGCACAGAGCTCATTAAGAAAAGCAGTTCAATGAGTTCATTTCAGAATGGAAATCAATGATTGCATCATCAAGTTAATTAAATTGGATATAAATTGGACTAAGACATCTATCACAAGATGTATGTACTTGGTCTTTAGTATATAAGTTTAACTACAAAACTTATTTTAACTGTATTAGAAGTTCCTCTTTCATACAGAGTATGAAAGTTAGGGCATACACTCCGTAGCCTATACATGTTTACCTGGGTATAAGTTCCACTGAACTCAAACGGACATATTGAGGACTCGGCTATACAGCTGCAAATAAAACGTTTTAAGTGTGTTGTAAAGTGCAAATACGAATGTGACACTAGATGGCGAAGGTGAGCTACGGCAAATTCAGTACATTTTTCCAGTGCTTTTTTTCTGGGGGGATGCAGGGGTACACATACCCCTAAACATTTTGTGAATCTAAGTTTGGCCTCATTGAGGGCCAGTATTTCAATATGAGTAAGGAAATGAGAGTACGCCTAAACATTTTTTTTCTGAGAAAAAGCACTGCATTTTTCAAAACGTTTTTTAAAAAAGCATTTTCACAGCGTGTTTTATATAAAAATAATAATAATACTTTTTTATTTATACCCCGCCCTCCCCAGCCAAGGCCGGGCTCCGAGCGGCTTACAAGCAATAATAAAAACAAGATGAATGATTACAACTTAAAAACAAAAATAAAATACAACATTAAAATAATGGAACATTAAAATATTAAAATGTAGCCTCATCGCAGGAGAAGGAAAAGAAAAAAGAAAGAGAGGGAGGGAGGGAATCAAACTGGCTCCAAGCCAAAGGCCAGGCAGAACAACTCTGTCTTACAGGCCCTGCGGAAAGAAATCAGATCCTGTAGGGCCCTGGTCTCATGAGGCAGAGCGTTCCACCAGGCCGGAGCCAGAGTTGAAAAGGCCCTGGCTCTGGTTGAAGCCAATCTAACTTCCTTAGGGCCTGGGACCACTAGGGTGTTGTTATTTATGGACCTTGAGGCTCTCCGTGGGGCATACCAGGAGAGGCGGTCCCGTAGGTACGAGGGTCCTAGGCCGTGAAGGGCTTTAAAGGTTAAAAGCAGCACCTTAAATCTGACCCTGTACTCCACCGGGAGCCAGTGTAGCTTGAAAAGCACTGGGTGAATATGCTCCCATGGCAGAGACCCCGTGAGGAGCCTCACTGCAGCATTCTGTACCCGCTGGAGTTTCTGGGACAGCTTCAAGGGCAGCCCCGCGTAGAGCGAATTACAGTAGTCAAGCCTGGAGATGACCGTCGCATGGATCACTGTGGCCAGGTCAGGGCGGGAAAGGTAAAGGACCAACTGCTTGATGCGGCGAAGGTGGAAAAATGTCGCCTAGGCTGTTGCTGTAACTTGCGCCTCCATGGAAAGGGAGACGTCAAGGATTACACCCAAACTCTTAACGGAAGGCGATGGCACTAACTGGGCCCCCGCAAGAGAAGGGAGTTGGTCCCTCATCCCCATGCCATCCTGACCTAACCATAGGACCTCTGTCTTTGAAGGATTTAGTGAATAGCCAGTAAATAGGTTATTTACTGGCTATTCACATAAAAAAAGTTCCCACCTCTCCAACTTCTTTGTTCAAATCGCTAGAACTTGGCAAAAACTAATCTTTCTGGGCCCTCAGACAATAATGCAAAATGGCTGCTTTGGGTGAGCCTGTCTATTCACAAAATGACTGCCAAGAAAGTAACAAAACTGATTACCCTGCATTCAATCTCTCTCACACCAGATCTTCACAAATGCACATCTGTTCTCTCCCAGATATAGTGACTGGAAGTGCATTCGTATGTAACATATGTCATATGTTTAACAAGTCCAACAGTCAAACCTATGCCACATAGTTGTGCTGCCTGCAAGCGCTCCAGTTGGAGAACAGCTTTTACCAAAGGTGTTGTGGGTTCTGAAGACACTCGAACTCAGGACGCAAGGAGAAACGTGCTAGGAGGAAGGCACGCTTGGTAAATCCACACCATGATCAGCTCCCGCACAGAAACCAATGTCCCCACTGTGGAAGGAAGTGTGGATCCAGAATTGGCCTCCACAGTCACTTACAGTCTCATTGTTAAAACTGTGTTTATGGAAGACAATCTTACTCGGCTACGAGTGATCACCAAAGAAGAAGAAGACAGTGCAAAGCTATCAGGGAGAATGGTCTAGCGAACTGGTTAAACACGTGGCATTTGGTTCACAGGAATTACATCGCCACACATGAACTCTCTTCACATGGTCTACCTCACTGGGTCACTGTGAAATTAAATAAGAGAATCATCACTCTCACTAGTGGTTTCAGTACAGGGCACATTGTTTATGTTTCAGTTTGGGTAATAACCTGGCTCCGCATAACATAACTTTATCCATTAATTTATATCATCAGAACACGCTATAGACCTATGCTACCATACTGAAGTATTCTAAACTGCAGACATTACATAATTAAGGCCTGGAGTATAGGCAATTCCCCATTTATGTGCGTTCAAGGCATGCACAACCGTGACTACATACATCGTCACGAACCTGGAAGTGGCAAAAAAAAAAAAGCGCAAAAATGGCCCCAAAAGAGCACAAAAACTGTGCAAAAATAGCATCTAGTGACCCAACGAGCCTTAACAAGTGCAATTCCAGGAGCCTTTGCACTGACCTTGGAGAGGCCTATGAAGAGTTGGGAGTTTTGAGCGAGCATTGCGGTGGAATTGCCTATATGGAATATTTTCATGAATCATGCCATATCTGGGTTTTAATTGTGCACTCACTTACCTGGGAGTAAGTCCCATTAAACTCAATGGGTCCTTTTTCTAACAAAACAATAGAATGCTTAAACTGTTAATCCATGTTTGAATAATTTAAACATAGTGCATTCAATTTAAATAAACATACAAATATAATCTATTTAAACACAGCTTTTTAAAAATGTAGAAAACCAGAAAGTAGTATATGTATGAAAACTGAAAGATGACACAGACTGCTTACCTGTAAGTCTCAGATCCAGAAGAAAGTTCTGGGACAGCTGCTTTTCAGCTTTGAGCTTAAACAGTTTAATAATTTCTCCAATTGTTGGAAGAGGTGGTAGGCGGAACATAGCCGCTTGTCTTGATGCAGTCATTGATTAAAAGTGTTACTCTTTGCCACTAGCAAAATATTAGGAGGAAAAGATTAAATTAGAACTTATTATATATTCGGCTATCAAGTTTTAAGAGGCATCGGAATTCTACACCCACCTACATGAATGCTTTTTTAATTGGACCAGCAACATCCAACACATGCTTTTCGTCAGCATCAAACGTTCTAAAGTACCCAAAACTTTGCGTAATATGTTTCTGAAGACTTTCTGACTGAAAATATGGCTTAGAGTGGATACAAATACAGTGGTACCTCGGGTTACATACGCTTCAGGTTACATACGCTTCAGGTTACAGACTCCGCTAACCCAGAAATAGTACCTCGGTTTAAGAACTTTGCTTCAGGATGAGAACAGAAATCGTGCTCTGGTGGCATGGCGGCAGTGGGAGGCCCCATTAGCTAAAGTGGTGCTTCAGTTTAAGAACAGTTTCAGATTTAGAACGGACCTCCAGAATGAATTAAGTACTTAACCCGAGGTACCACTGTATTCATGTGTGGTTTAGGAAGCAGCACACGAGATAATAACAAATTGCCCTTGCAATCCTGGTTCTGTTATATGTTGGGGTGCTTCTAAACTCACTTCGAGAAAACATTCAAACCCCGCTTTTCGCAGCCCTCCTATGGCAGCTCTAGCTTGCCTTGGAAGAACCTGCAAGGGCCGTATATAGAAACACTGGTCTTCCGTGAGTGCAACCTACTCAAGTTTAGCAAGCAAGGCGCCACACGCCGCTCCTCTGCCGCTTCTGTGTGAGCTGAGGGGCAGAAGCTTTCGGGCTGCCAACTGGCTAAAGAAAAGAACCTCTCTTGGAGCCCGTTGACAACAGTTTATACACGTTTTTCACAGCATTTGATAATGGATTCAGATGGGGTGGTCGAGGGAAGGGCATACCCCGCCTCCCGTCACGGGCTTCGGGGGGGGGGGGCTTGGCGGGCTGTAACCGAAAAGGCTCGCGGCCAGTTCACTGAGGGGAGTCGGCGCGAGCGCACAGGAGGAGCAGAGCAGCCGGCAGAATCAGCCGCCGCGCGCTCAGGTCGCCGGTGCGCACGCGCAACGCGGGGAGGAGCGGAGGAAAACGCGCGAGAAGCGAAGGCGGGCGCTTGCAACTTACAGTTATGGGTCCGTTTCCCTCACAAGACGCCGCATTAGGAAGGAGGCGGAATGAAGTAAAACGACGAGGAACACAAATACCGGCGGAGGGGAGTGCTCGCTTGTTGCTAATGAGATGGAATAGCGTCAATTGCCCCTTTCCCCCAACCTCCCTTAAATAAAAAAAAATTACCCTCATGACCCCGGATGCGGAAATCCGTATCATTCACCCTCTTCCCACTGCAGGTTTGGAAAAGACGCTCTACCCCTTCTTCTTGTCTTCTCTCCAGGGAGAACTCCGCCCAACTGCCGACAGCCGCCCGCTCATTGGCTGGTGTACATTAGAGCCTAAAGGGGGCGGGACGCACTTGGCTGCGTATAGCGCTCGAGGAAGGCGTTCGCCGCTCAACGCTTTATTGCTTCGCTGCCTTCTTCCGCCTCTGCGTTGTTTCCGGAGTTTTTCGCTCGCTGCTTTCCACCACCCAACTTTCTCAGCCAGCCCTCAAGAGCGAAGGGCGGGAAGATCTAAGATCCTTCTGTGGCATTTAAGCTCTTCCTCCATCTTCAGTGGAGATTTGACTCTGGGTCAGGATCATGCAATAGGGAATAACATGGGAGAGTTCGGAGTCATAACAACAGATTCCAGCGAGAAAAGAGGGTCTCTGGACATGTGCAAAGTGCAGTTCCCCCTCTGCTTAGTAACCATGAGAGATAGTATTTTGGCATTAGGAGATGAGGTTATGTGAGAAGGTGTAGCTAGTATGTAGAATGCAATGCAGAATACTAATGAAAAGCTAATTTTTATAGCAATTAAGAACTCCCTTCTGTCATGCTGATCCTTGGAGAGGGTCAGGTCAGTCACATTTTCCGAAGTCTAGCAAAGGTGTGAGGGGATTTCATAGATTTCACACTGACAACAGAAAGCAGCAAGACATCTCAGTTGTTTTCTCAGCCAAGAGTTCCCAAACACTGGAACATGAACCAGCAGTGGTCCACAAGCGTTATTCAGGTGGTCCGCAGTGTGTCTGGGTTTGTGGTGGAAGACAGAAGATGGCACATCTTTTGCATTAAATAGATTGTTTTCTTAATAGTATTGTTGTGGGGGGTGGGTTGTGCGCCCGAGCCCCCTTCTAATAACTGGATCCAGCACAGATTCAGTTCTTGGAAGATCCAGGCTAGCTTTCCGGTGAGGTAATGCCCCTCTATCTAAGATAACTGTGTCATACAGCAAATTGGTGGGGGCCCCTCCCTCAACTCTCAGCTCTGGCTTTTGTCTAACTACCATCATTAGAAAGACAAAGGCAAGAAGTGAGAGTTGAGGCTGGATGCCTTATCTCTACTAAGTATAGAAGCTTATGTGTTATGTAAGATTAGTTTTGCAATTAGAAAATGTAGATTTTTAAAAAATACAAAGTGGAAGTATACAAAAAAAATCAATCTTTAGATTTTGTTTCATTCTGAAAAATACTTTCATTTTACAGTTTATTATTGCTTACTTTTGAATTAGATATATATGGGGGCACAAAAATCAATTGCTTAGGGCCTCTAAACTGGCCCTGCCCCCTCCCCTTAATCTAATTTTCCCCCTTCTGTAGAAAATCTGATAAATAAATAAGACTGTTGGTGACAACACATTTACAGTATTAATGTCCTCTCTGTAAGCACCCATAAAAAAACTTATCTTGAGAAATATTTCTACAGCTGTAGTTTTCAGTCTACAAGTGGTGAACATACAGCAACTTCATTTGTTCGATATTCTTAATTTAATCTGACAATAGTAAAGTGTTTCAGGTTCTCAATACTATGTCTTCATATTCAGTGGCAACGTCCAATCAGTTCAACATTTGTGTCTTACACAGGTCCTGGGTACCACTTAGAATTAAGTGTTGGGCTGCCTCCTTTCTTGCTGGGTCCATGACCAACTGTTCTAGGGCACAAATTATTGAACACAGGTTGCAATGTCACATGCTAGCATTCCAGCTGATGGATATAGTGTAGCTAAAAATACACATACCTTCTTCGAACAATTTCTAGGGATGATTGTCAGCGGTGTCCTGCTGGCAAAGGAAGTGATTTTGGGAGGCCGTTTGCACAAATGTTCCGCAAAGCAGGGAAGAATGTTCTCTCCGTGGTACTGTAAAATTAATGATGGGTTTCAAGGATTTCCTTGTGATTTTGTCTGTTTCCATTTTCTTACTTGCTGTTCACTGTGAGTATAAATGAATGGCAGGACACTGTTTTGTGGTAGTGGAATGTTTAATAAAAATGCATAGAGATTGTCTGGAAGATCAGGCAGTGCATTAGATAAGGGCAGAAATCAAAGATTTACTGAAGTAAGTAACTTCACTCCTTTTCACCCATTCACTTTGTAGAAGTGTCCAGTACTCAATGGAGCAATATGCACTTGTTATTTGGATAATCGGTGATAAATTATATATATGTTTTTAAAAAACCAAGTTAGTCCCACCCATTTTTTGTCCAAAATGTGACAAACGTTAGCCTCAAATAACTTGAGAACCAGAATCCTAATGATGCTTAAGCGCTTCTTAAAAGCATCAGGCAGGGTGAGATAGGACGTTAATAAATCTCAGCCTCAGGTGTTTGTACACAATCTAGCAATGAAACAGATATTGACGTACTGTAAGTAAAGGAGAAAAGCCCAGATAAATCAGGAGTTCAAATGTACCTGATCTTCTGAAAGTAGAGCTTTCAGTTGGCACTGAATATAAATACAACACAGAGCAAGCCCCATTGTCAGCAGGGAACTTCCTTTGCAGCCTAATCAGAGAATTGTAGAGTCAAGGGCCATCTAGTCTAACCCCCTGCAATGTTGTTTGAAAGCATCAAAGTAGCCCGTCTAGGTTGGGGTAGAGAAGTTCAGAATCAGCTCTGGTGCTCATCCTATTCCCCATCTCTTCCAAGACAAGGAAAATGGAATTTTAGAGAGTAACTGTCAGGGAAAACTGTGAAAGTCATATTTTATTCTCCTTTAGCTTTCAATTTACTCATTTTTAAAAAAATAAAGTCAATTGAATCATTTTTAAACAGCTACAGTTAAAAGCTGATGGCTGAAAATAGAATTAACTATTCTAAAGTTAAAAGTTAGATCATGACAAAACATATTTGGGAACAACTCATCTCTTCTCTCCAGCACTCAGTAAATCTGCTCAGAAGATGCAGAAATAAAGGCATAGCAAGTAAACAACATGCACAGTAATCTCACCACTAGATGACACTCTTGTTCCGTGCTATGTGAACTCTTAAATTTCTAGATTACCAATACCACCAGCACCAAAAACCTGAATGCATGGATCAGGTTAATGAAATAATCTTGCTATGAAGAAAGAAAAGAGGAAAGTACACATAATAAAACTGGATGCCACCTTGACTAGGAGTGGTTGATTTGCACAGGGAACCTTTATTTATAGCGGAAGGTGATTTTTTTTTTAGATTGTTTCATTCACATGGAACCCCTACTTAGCAATGCACTGATTATGCTGTCAGCTGACCATGAAAAGTCTTAAAAATGGCAGTTTCCTGGAGAACAGCGAGGTGGCAGCACAGCTAAAGGTGAGCATGTTGAGAAGCCTTGGCTCCATTATATATAAAAAAGCCACTTTGCCATGGGAAAAATTGCCTTATTTACATAAAGTGCACTTATTTACATAGGGTGCACTTAATTGCACACAATGAATGAATAATGAGGCGCATTCACACGATACACCTACAGACTGCAGCAGACACACTAATATGCCACGACACACAGTTTGGAAAGCTTTGTTTTAGCCCAATATTTTTATGTTACATTCGTATTAAGACACTCCTTCTTCACCATAGTGCCATTACTTGCAATGAGGCTGCTCTAGAGTAACTAGATCTAAGGAGGTTGTGACCTCAATACTGCTGTTTCATTGTTCAGATGGTGTCCCCAAGAGTTGAACCTAAATGTTAAGATAGAAAGGTACATGTGAAAGACTTTGATGTCTCTCTACCTGGAAATCTAAATCATTTTTTTAATACTTTGGTGAACTTAATGCTTCTCCCTTAACACTCATCCATGAAGGAGAAACTAAGCATGTGATTAACCACTTGTAGAATGACTGAAGGGAATTTTAAGTACTGTAACAGTCTAGTTGTGCTGGTCATGGGGACTATGGTGTCACTTCTGTCATTATGATAGGTTGAGCTCAAGCCCATGAATCAAGTTTGTGACTACAGTAGTACCTTGGGTTAAGTACTTAATTCGTTCTGGAGGTCCGTTCTTAACCTGAAACTGTTCTTAACCTGAAGGACCACTTTAGCTAATGGGGACTCCCTCTGCCGCCGCACCGCCAGAGCACGATTTCTGTTCTCATCCTGAAGCAAAGTTCTTAACCCGAGGTACAATTTCTGGGTTAGCAGAGTCTGTAACCTGAAGCGTCTGTAACCTGAAGCGTATGTAACCCGAGGTACCACTGTAACTGATTTCTGAATTGATAATGCTTGCTTCAGTTGACAGAACTTCCCCTGCTTAACACTGCAACTAAATACTTAATGCTTTTGAGTAGTCATTGGGATTAATGAATATGGTCAAGTATAACCACAAAACTGAGACAAAAGGAAATATTTTACTCCTCTGTTCATTTTCCTTGCTATCCCACTGAAAATCCATTCATGCTGCAACAATGATTTTTGTATTTCTTGATGTTAAAGAATAGGAAGACAGGATGCGACCTGCCAATCAATCTGGGTTATACTCCAATAATTCTCAGATATTGCCCATCATCTGTGGAAGGTCTTGGAGAACCGCTGTAACCCTGTACCCACGTACCTGAGAGTAGGCACCACTGAACGTAATAGTAGGTTAGAACTGAGTTGATATGTATAGGGCAGAACTCATATAATGCCCTATCACAACCCAACAGTATTGTATTGTGGGTTGCCTGCGCCCAAGGCGAGGCAAGTGCTGCACCCTGCACCAGTGGACTGGGTAACTGGGTTGGAGGCATGTGCCTGAGGGGCGCATGTGGAGCCCACGAGGCACATGGCTGCTGGTGCCGGCACTGCTGCTGGTGGTGGCCACATACCCTCTTGACTTGATGGCTCCAGCGCTTCCCAGCTCAGCCAGCCAAGGGGCAGGGCATCCCTTTGCCAGCCACAAGGAGAAGGAGGTGCGACCTCAGCTTCTAAGGCCCAGCCCAGGCCCAGTTTGCCGCCCCATGGCTCTAGAAAGGGGCAGAAGCTCAAGGGAGCCTCTGAGAATTTTGTGCCCATGGTCACCACCCTTCTGCCCCCCTCAAGACTACACTACGCCACTGCAACTCAGGCTTCAAGAACAAGGTCTATGTGATGTTTATTTCAGTTCTGCAGCTTTGCTAAAGCTTCACATATCCAAAAAGCAAATTCATTTCTGTTTGTTATTTTGTTTTGCCCTTCATTCCACCTCACTCCAGGCACAGCTGCAATATGCACTCCTAAAGTTGTAGTCAATGGGTAAAATAGCACTTCTCCCAGCAGGGTTCTATACATCCTCATCCTATTATCCATTTCTGATTTCAACCGCATCCATAATAAAGTGATCTTCATTCAGTGTAAATACAGTTTCATTCTAGTCTAACAAGCCTCGCCAATCTTTCCCCCACCTCCTTCCTTTCCCCCCCTTTCATTCTAAGTCACTCACCCTGATACCAGGGAAATTCACCTCTCACAGTGATAACACTTCTGCTACTCAGTCAACTACAGCAAGGACTCAAAATGCATCTTCTGTAGCATACCACATTGATTTGCAAAAGCGAGAATAAATCAAAGCAGTGAAGAGATGCCACATTGAGCTAGAAGCAAAAACATTACATGTTGTTGCAGGAGGCTGCCCTAAGTATAGGTTGTGGGGAATGAGAGCACGGTACTTCAGACACTATGCTTGTTGCTTCCTATATAGGCTCCATTAAAAGAACCACTCTGGATCTGTCGGAAATTACCGCTTCTTTCTTCAACTGAGTAGCAGCTGATCCTTGTTTCCGCACAGCACTCCTCTTCACAAAAGCTTGATGTTTCTTTCTCTATGAAATTTATATTTTTAATGTGTCAAGTTTCTCTGAGGTTCAGTACAACACTGAGACGAAGGGAAGCCTCCAGGCAAACCACCACGGAGATTCATTCATCACTTACTCTGTGGCTCCTGCCAATGCCCCACATTAATCATTTCATACAGAGGGGAAAGAAGAAGAAAAACCACATCTTTTAAAACTATTTGGAAATAAAGATATACAGCCTTAAACTCAATCATAGTACAACTGCGCCTTTTATAGCAAGCTTTCCATACAAATTCGGTCCCCAAACAGAAGATTATAAACTATAACTGTAGCGTTCAGTAATATGCAGGGTTTCTTGCTCTGTATACTCTCACTGGGTTTTTGTGTTTTTTTAGTGTTTTACCACTGCCTTGTACGTGCATGTATGTATAATGTTGTCATTTGTCTTGTTCATCTGGTGACACACATGGGATGTTTTGCACTTCAGGTTTTATTGCGTGGATCAGTAAACGCATTACCTGATCCCCTTGATCCGTATTTTACACCTCAGTACAACCGCAATGCCTTTCTTTTGTTTACTGCCGAACAAATCTACTGCTATTTATGTGCTAATTCTTTGGAGTTTTTATGGATTCTCCCCTCCCCCACACTTTTTGGAAACTTCACCATGAAGTATGTGAGTGTCAGGTTTCAAATACATATTCTTAATGGTTTATCAATGACCAGAGTAAAGAAAAACAGAACTTACAGGGAGAGGAGGGAAGTAGCAAAGCACCTGAGTAGGAAAAATGTTACGATCTCAGCTGGAATCTAAAAACAGATGGAGTTGAATCAGGTAGAGAGAAAAAGGGGGAGCAGAACAGTCTGAAAGCATAGCAGGTAACTAATCTAGATCTAGGGGCACTTCCAGACTGTTACTATTTTCAGGTGGCATTCAATCACATACCAGGCACATTCAGGTTGTGCAATTAAAGTAGATTTGGAGCTCTTGTGTAGGGTTGCCATACATCTGGGGAAACCCGGACGTGTCCTCTTTTTGAGCGCCAACATACTCATCTGGGCAGATTTTTACAGTTTAAAGGAAATGTCTGGTTTGGGGGGGGGGGTTGGGGGCTCAGGCATTTCAGGCACCCACACACCTCTTTCCCAGCTCAGGCTTGCACTGGCTCAGGCTGTCCTCTTTTTTGCTCTTCAAGATATGGCAACCCTATCTTGTGTGACAAGCTTGCTCCCCTCCTCGTGTGTTATGTCTTTGTAGATTATGAGCCTGAGGGGAAGGACCTGAAACTGATTTCTGTAAGCAGTGCTGAGAGCCTTTTTGGCTAAAGGGCAGGATATAAATGCTGTAAAGAAATACATAATAAAGGGCGGGGGGATGCAGGGAAGCCTTGAACAATACATTTTCATTGTTAAAGATCAAACAAGGTTCAGAAAAACTTAGACCCAGTGCTCCTTAATAATTCTGAGCTTGCAAGCTTTGTGTTCCACGCTATAAAGATTTGTAACTGATTCAGTTTCATGAGATTGTGTATCTATGACCAAGAAGGCTATATCACTCTACAGAAGACCTTACAGGACAGATAGGTCTGGTTCTTTTGTTCCTATAAAAACTGCACAATAGTAACACATGTTGTATCTTCACTACCACACAAACCCGATTCTCATCCAGACCACCAAATGGAGTACAATTGTTGTTGTTGTTGTTGTTAATGTGCTGTGCCTAGATGGTGGGACTGGAGAACTGAGGTTCTGCCCATCACTTTTTTATTCTAAGCATGATCTAAATGTATTAGCATTTATATGTATTATTATTGTTGTTGTTGCTGTTGTTTATTGATTTATATAACGCTTATATGCAAAAATGGCTTCTAAGTGGTTTACAGCTATAAAATCAATTATAAAATTTAAACATAATTAAAATACACAATAACAATTCCACCAGAGCATTTAAACATCCCTAATGAAAATATACAATAAAACAAGCCAGTTAAAAAGCACAACAACTGAAGCAGTTAAAAAAAAATCAAGTTCAGAGGAACGCTTGCCTAAACAGGTACTTCTGGGACCTCTCATATTTCAGCAGGGAGGGCATTTTACAACACTCGTGCTGCCACTGAAATACCCCACCTCCAGGTTACCATAAGCTGATAGAAAAACAGCCAAGTCCCATTTGCTAATCCTAATGCTCATAGAGGAGAGGGGAAGATTGTTTTTCAGATGACCTGTTTGCTTAGCACTTATCTAACTCAGAATACGTGGGACTACTGAGCTGGTGAGAACTTCCCTCCACTACTGTGCTGTTGTTTTTAAAGCATCACCCTCACTCTAAGCAATATCGGGTTGCAATTTAAGGACAAAGTAAATTCCTCTACTAAACACAGAATGCTAAATGCTCTGTTTCAAGATGGCATAATTCCACCAAAATCAAGAAAGAAAAAGAAAAATACACCAAACAGAGCTGTCAGCTACTATTTCCAAAAAGGGTCTAGATTCTAGAAACTTTCTTTGTTGTAGTAAAACTGAACACCTCTTGGATCAGCAGAGGAATACCAGCTGCACTTCTTTCGAAGGGTTTGAGACAGAGATTTAGGTCCGCAGAAGAAAACACCAATGTTATTGCTGCCAAGAAAAGCAAGATACCCAGATTAATTTCAGGAGGAAAGAAAGGGGGGAATAATAATATGTAATGCCAACTTTATTACAGAGCATGGGAAATATGTTTCCAGCTTCATGACCATTATTTGGGGGATGCTGTCAGAACACTGAATGGCAAGATGAAGTTTGCACTGCCCTGGAGCTTTTTTGTCTGTTTCTGAAAGTCACCGTTTGAAAAGGGTCATAGGGCTAAACATGCATCAAACATTTTATAGGAAAAAAATCCTTTAAAGCATGAACTATATGGACTTGAAAACAAAGACTTTATATTCTGTCATGTTTGTGTATCACAGCTGATTTCATGTGGCCTCTCAAGTAAATGGTTAGGCATCTCTGGATTAGGTAGTCCACTGGATAGATTCCATTTGAATCCTTACTTGGAAGTAAGGTTCACTTGTCTCAGTAGTGCTTATAGCTGAGTAATCATACAGAGGATTGCCATGCATTTTTTTTCTCATTTAAAAAGACGTTCTTATTGGTCAACTGGCAGGTAAATAGTGGGCACTGCTAAACAGGGACTGATGGGTCTATCAATTTCAATTTCTAGTTCTTCCAGTCTTACATTCACTTCTCCACATTTCCACAACAGCTTGTAATTAAAGAAAACATTTTCATGAAAATTCACCAGCGTTTTAGTGTGAATTTCTCCTAATACTGTATTGCTTGTATACACATGCTTGTACATAATTCTGCCTAATATACACATTTTTGCAAAGCAATCTGCCCTAAGATAATGCACTCTTCACATGTTACTTTCATTAGTATATGCATATTCATGCAAAGTGTATAAATTACTTGGAGAACTAGATTGCAAAATTTGAAGAAATGCAAATTTCAAATGATGGCTGCATTTTGGTATACACACCGTTTCAGATTACATAGATTCACCTTTAAATGCAAACTGAATTGAATTTCTCCCACACCCCTACTGCTGTTAAGAAACCACAAAATATTTTTGTTTATGTCCTTTTTCTGGGTGATGAAGACAAAATAAGCTGCAGTGACTGCTTCAGAGGCTACTGGGAACAAATAAGCCTTTTCTAAGCTTTTCTTAGCAAAACTCTGGAGTTCAACTTAGACCTTTCAAGCTGAGATGAACTAATAACATAAGAGCATTGTCTTTACATCCACAGCCAATTATGTTGGGGAACAAACACATCCTTGACATCGTAAGAAAAAGGCCTCACTGTTTATCTCTTTAATAACCATTTTCAAGGGAAATTAGTGTTACTTTGTCCTTTGTGCTGAACAATAATTGGATTGTGTCTTTCAATTATAGCTGGACAAATGCCAAGATATTTTAATACTTCAAATATTAGATTCTCCTGTCCAAAAATTAGATTTTATTGGCATTGTCTATCCAAGATTTCTTCATCTAAAGTTTTATTACACATAAAGATGCTTTCAGCATAAGAACTCAGCTCAAATTATTATTGAAAGTGTTATTGATAAAGTGGTACAATTTTTCTTCCCTACCTAGCTCACTGGGGGAAATGCAGTATAATGACATTACTTGCTAATTTGCCTTACCTAGGATGATTTTCTGCTATATGTTTGAATTCTGTGTCCCAGTTTGGTCGTCCATAGAAGGTCTTTTGTTTCAAACCAGTAATTACATCCAACTTTTCATCATAATGTAAGGCAATATGAGTAGCCTGTATTGTTGAGAATCAAAAGGTAATTATTTGAGAACCAGCAAGTTTAACATCACCTTCAAGTAAAAAAGGAAAGGCTATAATCCTAAAATATGGAGGGACAGACTAAAAGAGGCACTCAAAAGTCTAGATCAGGGATGCCCTCCAAATGACCACTGACCATGTTGGCTGGGCTGATGGGATTTATATTCCAAGTTCATATTCTCCTGGGATAGCTCAGTCAGTAGAGCATGATACTCTTAATCTCAGGGTCATGGGTCATGGGTTCGATCCCCGCATTGGGCAAAAGATTCCTGCATTGCAGGGAGTTGGACTATACATGACCCTTGTGGTCCCAACCCTACAGTTCATAAGACATCTTCATTAGTTATGACCGTGGTATTGTTGCTCTAAATGTTAACATTCTGTGGATGTTTCTGTAATCGGCATCCATTGTGGACCTGCCCAATCTCATGAGTGGCATGTGGTGCTGGCATGCAGACTTTCCACATTAGCAAGCAGATTCACATGGGTAGCTAAGCTACATACATCATGCAGCATCTGCTCAAGGTCAGCAAGAGATAATGGAATTCTGTAGCTATGCCTCCCTTCCTTCTTCTCTTTCCCCATCTCCCAGCTGCATATTCATACCCCTTATCCCTTGCTTCCAACCTTGCATTCCTTTCTTTATTATCACAGTGGCATCAATTTGTGTAGCAGACTGCACAGTACTTGCCCTGGTCATCAAACTCCTGAAAGATAACCCCAAATTATGTATAGGTAGAAGATAACCCCAAATCCGTCCCCAGTGCCTTCCTGTTTCAGTTAACCAAAATAGTTAGTAGAGACGAATGTACAAGTTGTGGGAGAAATTGTGAAGTGCCATAAACAGAAATTTAGTGGACAGGGTGGCACTGCCATAAGGGGTTGGGAGCAGGCAGAGTCAAGGGGAAAAGGAAAGCTGCAAGGAGGGAGAGGAAAGAGCAAGAGAAGAACTAAAGAGAAGAGGACTTGGGGAGCAGTTGCAGATCTGGCTGCCAATCTGCCAGGGCTTGGGTGCTCCTGCATCTGCAGAGAACCTGGCATCAAGTGGTGTACCTGGGACTACCGTGGTAAATATAGTTGGAATGAATACTTTCAAAAGACAAATGTTACAACTATTCACTCTAAGGAAGCTACGCTTTATGTGATTAGGCATTCATTTGATTACTGTTCCTTAGGCTGCAGTCCTGGAAAAGTAAGATTCAGTAACTCAGTCCCATAAGATTTCATTTATACCTGACTTTCATCCCAGCCAGTAAGAAATATGTGATAGCTTAGAAAATGGGCTTTCCCTTTCTCAGCCATTTGTGCTTCCAGCAAGCACAGGAGATCAGCAAACCACTCAAAGGCAGATGGATCTCGGCAAATCCAATAGAAATAAACCTGTCAAGGGAAAGTAAAACAATTCAACAAAGTGCAAGCTTTCATCGGGCGTCCTATATGGCTCTTAAATTATTTATTTGGAGATAAGTAGCTAATCTTATAGCTGGCTACTGTGCTCAGGTGTAAATTTATACTTGATTTTCTATCCAGCATTGACGATGTAGAGTTTTTAAACATACTCCAGCAGTCATTCATATACAGTTTAAACGGATTTTTGAAAATCACAGCCACTGCCTCTAAGGCACTGAGATGTAGACATTCTTAATGCTCCATCTAAACTGTTTCCAGTAATATGACAGCACGAGGGACTTGGACCAGGGAGATTTGGTTCAAATATCTGACAAGCCAGGATGCTCTGGCAACTAATATAAAAATTTGGCAAGTTTTGGCAATCAATATAAGAATAATAACCAACATTTCTATAGCACTTCTTAAGTGTTCAAAGCACTTCACATCCTTTACCTCAGTAATTCTTACAACAACCCACTGAGGTAGATCTTTATTTTTATCCATATTGCAGATGGCTGAGAAGAGTGGCTTAACTAAGTCCACCTAATGAGTCACATCTGAAGTAACATTTAAACTAGGAGCTTCCTGGACTACATCTCACACACTTAGCTGCTACATTGCACCTCTTTTTAGACTTAATTTTCATAATGAGTTCATGTACAATTACTATCAGTTTTCTGTCAGTAAAATGGGAGTTTCAGTGACACACCTCACAGCATTTTTACAAGGGCCAGACACCTCCCCTCAACGCATTACCGGTACCTTGTTTGTGGAACACATGCAGAACTGGAAAAAAGTGGGGAGGAATGGAAATGAATTAATAATTCACCTCAACCCCTATCACTAGCGGGGCACCAGCACTTTGGCATCATGAATACCAACTGACACAGTTAAACAACAACAATCCAGCCACTAGATATTACTAAATGCAGGCCATACAACCATATTTCAGGAATCAAATAAAGCTAATTCCCACCCCAGTGGGGGAATGGTTAGCATGAAAATAGGATATGGGTTATATCACCAAACTGACCAATATAGTGTACATCAGAGAAGGAAGATAATGCAACAGGGTCCCCACAAAATGAAGTCTGTTTACCTTTTTTTTTTTTTTTTACTAGGCTATGAAGTTCAAGTCATAATCAATACATATGTTCTATTGGGTGAAATATAGTCTAGACTTCTAGAATATCTAGAATCATATTAATGTATTTATGCAGAGTTCAAGGCCCCATCTGCGCTATACATTTAAAGCAGCATCACACCACAGTCATGGCTTCTCCCATAGCCATTTACTATGGGCCATTTAGCTAAGTGTTGAACAAAGGTAAGAATAAGCAGCTACAGATAGGATTTGCCTAGGAAAAAGCCAGGCAGCTTTTCCTCCCTTACACAGAATGCCACAAGTTAATAGAATTGGGACATTAGCTGGAAGGCAAGTGGCTAGTACAACCATGATGGTTATTTACTGAAATGATCCCCCAAATGAGCAAGGGATGCAAAGCATATTTGCAAATGAAATATGTAACCACAATACTGATTACCTTTTCCAGTCTCAGTCCTGTGCTTAGATTACAGCACTTATACCAAATCGATTTCAGAATGGAAGCAAAAGGAGTGGCTCCTATTCCTGCTGCAATGCAGACACTAATTTGATACTGAAACGCATCTGTTGCTGCTGCTCCAAAGGGCCCATCCACAGCTAGTCTGTAACAAGAAACACTCAGCTAAAATTAGAAGTCTGCCACTGTTCAGAGTTTTCTTTTTGTTGGTTTAAGTTTATGTTGATTTTATTTTTCTAATACAGTGGTACCTTGGTTCTCAAACACCTTGGTACTCAAACGCCTTGGTTCTCAAATGCCGAAAAACCGAAGTAAGTGTTCCAGTTTCTGAATGTTTTTCGGAAGCTGAACATCTGATGCGATTGTCGGCTATTGTTTCCTGGTCACCTGCACCAATCAGAAGCTGCGTCTTGCTTTTTGAATATTTCGGAAGTCTAACAGACTTCTGGAACGGATTAAGTTGGGCACTTTTGTTTTTGCTATTTATTTTGTGGTTTTGTTTTTGAGGTTTTTTGGTTAATTTGTTTTTGTGACTGTGTGGAACCCAGTTCAGCTACTGATTAATTGATTGTGTGACTGTGGAAATGAATAAAAAAAACCCTATCTAAACAATGACTATCATCAGTGCAGGTAAGAAAAAAAAGTTAATTTTAATTTTTATCATCTACAATACTGTCTTATTTATTTTATAGTACAGTACATTGATTATTGCTTTCATTTTGTGGATCAATAGTCTCGTTAGATAGCAAAATTCATGTTATATTGCTGTTTTAGGGGTTGTTTTTAAAAGTCTGGAAAAAATTAGTCCATTTTGCATTACTTTCTATGGGAAAACGTGCCTTGGTTTTGGAACACTTTGGTTTTGGAACAGACTTCTGGAATGGATTAAATTTGAGAACCAAGGTGCCACTGTACCTGCTATTTTAATATACGGATTACTAACTGTCATGGGTAAATGGAAGAATGGTGGGATATAATTTTTAGTAAATACATAAATAAAATATGTTAAAGGACAAAATAGAATCGTTCCAAAATGATGACTTGGTTATATTTGTTACAAGAAGAAGGGCACAGTTTTCCATGGGTGCTGCTTTGCTATCAAATAAACTATTTAGCAGAAGAGAGCAGGAGGGCTGTGTGCATAAGGGCTCTGGCCATTTTATTTAAGCATGCAATTGCAATTTTAAGGATTCCGGCAATCTGATTAGTGACTTAATTGCATGGCCAAATTTAGTGAGAGTATTTGCATATTTAATTATGATTTAAGAAAAAAAGCATCCTGCTTTAAAAGTCTTATTTTCCATAGTGTGCAAATCAAGGCACAGAGGAACTGATTTAATTTTGGAATGTTTTTAATCAGTTTGAAAACTTCTTGCTATGCTATGCGGTGAAGGAATGAAAAATGTGAGGGTGGGGACAGAATTAGATATATTAGCATGTAATTCATAAATATATGAAAATGTCTGCATTAAAAGCAGCATTCAGAGCAAAACGAGCTTGCCACCAATTCAGGAATGGAGATTCCTTCTTCTCTTACACTGCTTCTCAGTCCTCCTGGCTAGATAAGTCTTTTTCCTACGAAGCCACTTGCTCTTGAATGCACATGACTGGTGCCCGACTGTCCATTGTTCTTTCTTAAATGCCATGCTTAAAATCATCTAACATTCTACTTTGAGGATATTTTGAAGACCTAATCCCTGATTCATTGGATAAAAAGTGGTTTAGTGACATAAACTCAGAAGACTTAAAATTCAGAATTTGGATTTAATATATAGGGTTTATATTTTAATCCTCTCAGGGGCAATCTGGTTAAAAAAAAGAAGTTAAGGATAGTTAATCATACACAGGAAGCTGCTTTATACTATCTTAGACTATTTGCTCAGCTAGCCCAGCATTGTCTAATCCAAGGCTGGAGAACAGCAGGCCTTGCCATTTTCCAGGCCCTCTTCCTAAACTTAATTCCTTCCCAATCCACACACACTCTAGTCCAGGCTTCCTCAACCTCGGCCCTCCAGATGTTTTTGGCCTACAACTCCCATGATCCCTAGCTAGCAGGACCAGTGGTCAGGGATGATGGGAATTGTAGTCTCAAAACATCTGGAGGGGAGGGCCAAGGTTGAGGAAGCCAGCTCTAGTCTCAGGCTACAGCCCCAATGGCCCTGTTTTGTGCCCTCCTCAAGAGCTTTTTAAAGGGATGCGGGTGGCGCTGTGGGTTAAACCACCGAGCCTAGGACTTGCCGATCAGAAGGTCGGCGGTTTGAATCCCCGCGACGGGGTGAGCTCCTGTTGCTCGGTCCCTGCTCCTGCCAACCTAGCAGTTTGTAAGCACGTCAAAATGCAAGTAGATAAATAGGTACTGCTCCGGCGGGAAGGTAAACGGTGTTTCCGTGCGCTGCTCTGGTTCGCCAGAAGTGGCTTAGTCTTGCTGGCCACATGGCCCGGAAGCTGTACACCGGCTCCCTCGGCCAATAAAGCGAGATAAGCGCCGCAACCCCAGAGTCGGTCACGACTGGACCTAATGGTCAGGGGTCCCTTTACCTTTTACAAGAGCTTTTTGCCTGGTTGAAATGCTTCCCTGAACTATAATTAGGCCTCTCGCTAGCCTGAAAGGATGACAGAAAGATTTGGGTGTGGGGAGGGGAATGCGACACTATGTCAAAACCTCTGATGTTTACTGTACAAGGGTAAGAGTCATACCTGTTGCTCCCATCTACATTTGCTCTGACCCCACCCACTACATGCATGTGGCCCCCAGGAACAGGGATGGCAGGGGAATTTGGTTCATTATGTGTTTGAAGCCAAATCTATCAGCCTCACACTTTCAGAAACAAAATGCAAACAGCCAGCTGGCCTTTGGAATTCTCACTTATCCAAATTTTGCAGTTCTCCAACCCATCAATGCATATATTAGGGAAAAGTCTGCATAAAAATGAAGATATCTATGAAAATAACATACAAAAATGCATTATATTAGGTGGGGATTGTTTGCAAGAATGGGTCCATGAGTCAAAACTGCATGGAAAAATGTGTTTATTAGGAGATATTCATGCTAAAATGCTAAGGGGTTTTCTGCAGGTTGCTGCAGAAATGCAGAGAGCTGAATTTAAGATTGGAACATGGAGAAATACATAATTATATGTCCACTAAACAGGGTGAGACATAAATAAAAGAGAGAAAACGAAAAAGAGAAACCATTTCTAACTTTCAGTAAAGATGTCTGTGGTTTTTTGTTCTTAAAATGATTGGAAAAATGAGAAATCGAGAGAACCAAAACTGGCTGGTCCTTCCACCCTACTCAGGAGGCTGTCCATGAGGGAAGGAGGCCTGAAGAAGGATCCCCACCCCGATTCAATCTGACTGGCAGAAGCTCTTTAGGATCTCAGGCGGAGGTCATCTTTGCCTCCACCCTTTACCTGGTACCTGTAACAAGAGATGTCCAAGGCCTCCTTGCAAACCTTGTTCTCTGAGTTCCAGTCCCTTTCCTACACTGGAACCTGGTCATTTCCTATCAGGGGTCCCTAGGCACTTTTAACTTTCTCTAGACTGCACCTCAGTTCAGAAGGTATCCCTGACTGGTGGGGGTTTTATGAATCGTGATATCGCGTCAGGTCGCATGACATGTGCCAACTTTTAGGAAGCTGCAAGCAGACGGGAAGAACATAGATTTGAGAATAGCTTCCTGAGAACAAAATGCCAGCATCCAGCACCCGCTGCAAAGATGGCCTTGTCCCAGATACCCTGTTAAGTTGCTGGTACTATTTTATAATGATTAGGAAGGATGAAGAAAGTTTATGGCAAAGCTGGAAAAAAAATAGCAAGTATGCTAACAAGCAAATAAGAACTGGCTATAGAGCCAGAGTAGATTCAAAAAGTTTTACTTCCAATCCGGGGGTAATTTATTTTTATCTCTTTTATCCTTTGGTTATTTATAGGCATTGCAGCAAAAACAAACATTTCTGATTTTTAGTTAAAATATCTATCCTCTCCCTTCCCATTCAGCATAGTGGTAAGCATACATATTTACTCAGAAGTAAATGCTATGGAGTTCAATGGACTTACTCCCGGTACTTGAATTACAGGGGAAGAAGGCATTGCCTTTGTGATACTGTTTTTTAGAAAACTATGGAGGGACATGATTTTGCTAAAATTGGGAGGTAGGATCTGTGGATTTCATTAAGCCCCCTGCTCTCCCCCGAAACCTGTCCCTTCCCCTATAAGTGAAGCACTTTATGAACCTTACAGTTGCAGACTTAAACAGTTGCTTAGCTTTCCTACTGAAAACCATGGAATGTCAAAGTGCTTAGTGTTGGCTGGATCATGGGCATATCAAATAATATTCAATATCTTTTCCAAGTAGCATGATTTAAGCAGTCCTCCTGAAGGAAAACATTAATATATGGGGTTTTTTTCCTCCTGCCAGTGAGACTTCGAGAATGCTGTGTTTTACTACATCTATAATTATAATTTATACTCTGCTTCGATATGAGGAGGGGGGAAAACCCCTTCACAAATTGTTAGTTAATCAAAACAAAATGACAAGTATGTAACACTGCAGTTAGTTATCAAACCTTGGCAGCTTCCAGGGCTCCTTAAAGGTTTTCTCCTCTGCTCCAAAGGCGCTGAAAAGGGCTTCTGTCCAATCCCCGACTGACCTTATGTGTACACTGAAAAAGTCATCTTCTGGGGCTGAAGTGAGAGTGAATGGGTGCCATTCCATCTGTGAGATAGCGGGGCACTGGAGAAAGATATACTGACCAGCCTCCATCTTAAAGCCACGTTTTTTCATATGAAGCTCCAGAACTCCAGAGGAATGAGACACCACCTAAGCCACAGTCAAATGACAATCAGCACACAATATATCTATGAACCTAAGGAGCTTTCTTCTACCAAGTCCATCTAGTTCAGTATTGTGTACACTGACCAGGAGTGGCTCTTTCCAGGGTTTCAGTCAAGGAACTCATGGAACTCACACAGCCCAACCTAGAGATGTTGGGGATTGAACCTGCATGCAAAGCAGAGGCTCTACCACTGAATGGCAACCCCAAAATAGTCCTGTGCATCAACAAGGAATGTAAAAATAGATGTGACTCAGCTGATTTTCAATGGGCAAATATTAGCTACCATTTGCACCTGGTTGCATGACTTTTTGCTGGCCACAGCGCCTCCATATTTTTCACACGGTGATGATGTTGCATACCTTGCAGTTCAATTTCCGACTTGCCGTTGCAGGAAAACTTTTTTCTTAACAGTATTATGAAAGTAAGGCAATATTGAAATGCTCATGTATATGGTAATGAAAATGAACCCACGAGTAGAATGTGCAATACACCAACAAAATATTGAATACAGAACTTTCTACTGATGAAGCAATATAACCATACATTTTTATTTTAATACAGATAATAAAGCTGATACGACATACACACCTTTGTAATGACCACCTCTTGCTGAAACCTCCAGAGCCTAATAATTCTTTCACAGATGTACAATATCACAGGGCATAAGACCCACTTCCAAGCCTGTTGAGGATCATATAAAGAGAAGTTTTAATGCATATATAAGCTTTAAATTTCTGATGGAAACCACTGCAGGCACTATGTTATTTCAGTCCATCTCCACCTTGCCTTCAAAGAGGATGCTAAGGTGGGCAATATACCCAAAATTCCTAAGCAAAGAGGAGGAGTGCTTGCCAAACACTCCACCGCCCGACTGACGGAGACGAGAATGCAGGTTTCCATCTTTTCAACAGGGGCTGGAAACTTATGGCCCATGAGCTGTTAAGGGCTTTAAATACTAATAGTAATAACTTGAATTTAGCCCACTAATGAAACAGAAGCCAGTGCAGCTCTCTGAGCAGGGTGTGTAATATGCTGACAGGGTGTCACTCCTGTCAGTAATTGTGCTGCATCTTCCTTAACTAACTAGGTTTCCAAGGAAAGTGCAAAGAAAGCCCTACTTAGAATGTGTTACAATAATGCAATAAGGTGGAGCTGTGGTCTAAACCACTGAGCCTCTTGGGCTTGCCAACCAGAAGGTCAACAGTTCGAATCCCCACGATGGAGTGAGCTCCCGTTGCTCTGTCCCAGCTCCTGCCAACCTAGCAGTTTGAAAGCACACCAGTGCAAGTAGATAAATAGGTACCACTGCGACGGGAAGGTAAACAGTGTTTCCGTGCACTCTGGTTTTCATCACGGTGTTCCGTTGTGCCAGAAGTGGTTTAGTCCTGCTGGCCACATGAGCCGGAAAGCTGTCTGTGGACAAACACCAGCACCCTCGGCCTAAAAGCGAGATGAGCACCACAACCCCATAGTTGCCTTTGACTGAACTTAACCATCCAGGGGTCCTTTACCTTTATCTTACAATAATGCAATATTAAAGTAAGTAATGCCTGGACTACAGTAGGGAAACGGTGAGAAATGGAATTCCCTACCTGTTCATTGTTCAGAGTCCTGAACTAGAAAAAACAATGGGAGGCCTTTCCAAGCTTTTGGAAATCAAGGAGGGGGTGGGCTGTAGAGGGTCCATGGTGTCAGTGGTGGGCTCTGCCAGGGCATAGGGCTTCTTGCACCTGCCTAAGCATGATGGTTGCTGATGCAAGCCACCCTCAGCTATTCAGGGCATGGATCCTGTTTGGCTCAGAGTGCATAAATGCATGCTCTGTGAAATTGTCGCTTCTCTTTTTCTGACACAGGCTCTCTAGATTGGATTCTTGAACCTTTAAGAAGAGAGAACCAATTTCCACTCCCTGATTCTGCTGTACAATTAGCAAAGTTTTCTAGTATGATGCATTGGCCAGAAATTGACCCAAAAAGTTCAGTTATGCTGAAATGACCTATTTTTATTAAATTGATTGGGCTGTTTTATTGTCAATAATTACACTTAGCAGATCTATGACATCAAGTTGCTTAGACCTCAAGATATTATAGCTGATAATTGCACTTCATGGTCATATATACTGATCATCCTATTGATCAAATGTACTTAGCTGACCATATATATTAACTGGTCATTCTGTTCAGCTTGAGCTACAACAGCTTTAGATAATTAGATATAATGGAAGATGCAGGATTTTTTTAGACATGCAAGCATTCATTCTCCCGCTTTAGTTTTAGTATCGGAAAAACAGCTTACAATGGCTTATTTTAGTCAGCAGAGGATATGCAAAATGGATGTGCTTTCATTTATTGACTTTGCAACTCAATTATACCAAAGTACTTAGATTTAAGTTTCTCTTTAATTAATACTTTATATATTAATAAAACCAAGAATAACAGTATGCAATAGGGAGAAACACGGGGCAGTTGCCCTAGTCTGTATCCAGTGCTGAATAAAACTAGATCATGTAGCTGTTTGCAAATACTATTGTTTAATATTTGTTCTTTTAATTCAGCAAATTCACACATTACCATCACATTTTTTAAAAACTCTCATTATTAAAGGAGCTGATTTATATTCCCACATCAGCAATGCACTGGGTGCAAATGAATGGAAAGACGCTAGTTCCAATTCATAATAATTAAAATAATCATTCTAAAGCCCACAATTGGGCAATACGTATTGTTATCAGAACCAACCAAAGTGATGCAGAATAGTTGTCTATAAAATTCTTGAACCATTTGACACTGCAGGTTTTCCACATTTTTCATTACCCTCCTCCCCAGTTTTCCAGAGTATGGTACCATCACAGAACTGGTTGCAATAATTTCTGTTAAAATTTGACACTGATGACATTGAGGCAAAAAAATACACTTGGTTGTATCCACAGGGGATGTTTTCGCTAGCAGAAAGAGGCACCTGATTTTCAGTCATTTCCCCCTGACCTACTCAAGTCTCATTTGTCTTATTCCACCCCATTCCAATGGGTCCCTCAAACATCAAGGGCCATGGTTTGGGGGTGGGGGTCACTTACAAATCGATAGTGTCCCAGTTTATGGAATGATATGCTTTTTTCAACCAGCACAAAGCCGTCTGAAGTGACTTGACTGGGGGAAGAACTGTGTGGTGGGAGCTGCCCTGTCCTCCTGGCCTGGACATTTTTATCAGCTGTGCTCCTAAATCTGATCTGGGGTATTGGATGTTCCCAGGAAGGAGCCAGAACTGCTACTGACTTTGCAACTTAGCAGTCATACTTGAGGACAGGAAGTTAAAGATGCAAAAAGGTCATTTATGGCCCACAACTCTCTCTAGCCTCATTGCATGGTGATGCATACTATAGCATTGCCCTCTTGTCTTGAATGAATTGCCTTTTTAGTTGCAGTCTTTGAGACTAACAAATTTATAATGGGCTAAGCTTAAAAGGACTCTAATCCATAATATTGGGCCATATGAAACTTGTGGGTCTTTAAGATGCCACAAGACTCTTCACTGATTTTCCTGTGACAGCCTAACTCGGCTACCCTCTGGAACATTAGCTTTATTTTTATTTTATATAATGAAATTTATATACCACTTGATTACAAATAGAACAGCTAGGTGGTTTAGAAAAAACAAATCCAAATAACCACATTGTCAATAAAAGATAAAGTTAAAAAAGATAAACTATTTTAAATAAAAATACTATCTTTAAATAAAAGATAAAGTTAAAAAGATAAAGTATTTTAAGCAATCCAAAATATAATTAAAACCAACAGTTAAACTAAAAACAGATTAAAACACATGTCAACTTCTACATGTCTGGCTAGGTTTGCCTAAAGTGTTTTTTAGCAGGCATCAAAAAGTGTACAGCAAAGTTACCTGCTTGATATCAAGAGACAGGGAGTTCCAAATTGTGGGTGAAGCCATACTAAATTATTGATTTCTTACAAGTGCAAAACAAGTATTATGTGATGCCTGTAGGAGTGCCAGTTCTGCAGTTCAGAGTGGTCAAATGGGCATATATGAGGTAAGATTATCTGAGTGCCACAAGCTTAATGCTTGCACTAGGGAGTCTAAGGTGGCACCACAAGATCAAAGTCACTCCATTGCATCGAGATTCTTCAGCATAATAGGGTTGCTGCTCAGGCTATAACTCATCTCAGCAGAAGTACTGGAGGTAAAATATTGCTCTGGCTTAAGAAACTGCAGTGGTGCAAGTCACCGATGAAAAGTAAATCATTGGCCTAATTACTAGCTACAGAAAAGGGAAAATCAAGCGTCTTTCTTCTTTCTGTTTGTATTGCACAGACAGAAAAACCCTGCTGAGGAATTTTTAAACTATTTGATATCCTCCCTGAGAATTCAGCCAAGGCTTTCAAATATGCTCCTTTGATCCTTTCGCAAGCAGCTGTAGAAAGTGCTATCTTTAAAGTGTTCTTTTTGTTGGAAATGAATAGTCTTTGATGACTTGTTGAGTGACCAAAGCTTCTTTCCTTGTATTCAGGACACTTGCCTTGTGCCAAGGTGACAAATACATTAGTCCTGACATTAAATGATATTGGACAGGCTGATGATGGAAGCTGAGGATACAGGCTTTAGTACTCTAAAGGTAGATCACCATCACTTGGAGGTGAACCTGGTCAAATCTATGAAGTGTGTTTCTTTTATATATGTTCTAAACAACCAATAACAGTTTAAATAACATATGAATTATTTAAAGAGATGATTGACTTCATTCCTTGGCAAGCTTGCTGAATTCTCCATTTGTGACACTTTTGAGACCCACTTTAGACCTAATGTTGTTGGCCTTTTCACTGTCCTGGAAACAGGCATTTCCATTTCAATACTACTGTATTATTATTATTATTATTATTATTATTATTATTATTATTATTATTATTTCCCCAGCCACTCTGGACGGCTTTAAGTGATACTGTTTAAGCAATACTGTTCATATAGGCTTTGATTTACACCTTTGTGTGATTTGATCAGTGTTGACCCGTTACTCTCATGTGCTCAGAGAGATTAATAAAGTTGAATATCAAAATCCTCCAGGAGATATTCTCCCAGAGTTTGCTTGTGGATGGCTTAGTGGTGGCGTTGTAAATCAGAAGAGTTGGGTTTTGTTTTTTTAAAACAATGACCTGGTGACAGTCAACCAGACATCCTTACCCAGTGCTGCCATGGCACAGGAAACAAATCTTGAAACTCCTTAAGGAGTAAGATAGATGGCTGTAACATTCATTGCTCATTTAACGTTCACAAAGACTTCTTTGTGAATGTCTACATTGGGAATGTGGTAAGGAAAGCTTCCTTCTTGGACATCCTAATATCTATTGAGTTCCACTCAGAGGAAATCTTCCAGGAAGCAGTGAATGATCTGTAAAACTAAGTGGTATGTGCCAACATTGTGTTTTCCCAACTTCAATGTGTTTGTCATCTGTTTCTTAGACCAAATCATCTTAATCTGGTATGACTTTGAGATTAAAGATCTATCAGCATTCAAAACCATGCAACAGAGACTGGTCCTCCAGCTCAGTCTGCCCTCAACCTGCCTATCTTCTTACTTACTATCAGTCCAGAGCACTGGCTGTCAGCTTCCTCCTCCTTAGACTCAGTGTTGCAGAACTCAGAGGAGGATGCTCACAAAAGTAGAATTAGTCAGCATTGCAAGTCATTTGCTCTGGCTCCACCTACCCTTGGTCACCTTGAGTTCCACCCTATTGGTCCCAATGGGCCTCAGCCACCACTGAAAGCACAATGAAGCATCAGCTATGAAACTAGGGAGATCTGTCGATCTATTAATCTATCTACAACACAGAAAGCTGCTTTATGCTGAGTCGGAGCATTGGTCCCTCTAGCCCAGTGCTGTCTACAGTGACTAAGCAGCTCTCCATAATTCCAAGCAGGGGTCTCTCCCAGTCATACCTGGAGATGCTGGAGGTTACCCCTGGGACTTTAACCATGTAGAGCAGGTGCCCTACCACTGTCACAGCACTTCCCCAATCTTGAGTACATTCCTTTGGGTGTGCAGGGAAGGAGACATGCCTCACTGATGTTATGCTCATTAGTTTCAGTGCACGGTATTGCAAGACAATGGCTGTCTTTATTCACAGTATTTATTTCTATGGAGACACTAAGTTTTTTTGAGATACATTAATATGCATGCAGGGTAGTAGCAAATAATAGTTTTATGTGGGAACCAATCTAGGTCAGTCATTACAATCCTTCTAAGTTATTGATGTATTTTTCCCCCATTGTATTTTAACATAGTAATTTTATTCCTGCTTTCTTTCTGCCCAATCCTAATCTTTTGTGAATAGTAGCCTAAAAATATCTTAATAAATGTTAGATTTTTGTCACTCAAGCATGTGACAAGCATGCACATGATGGTTACTTAATTACCCCCTGTGGATTTGCAGTCTTTGGAGGGTTTGTTTTTGAACAAGATTTCAAACTCTCAGACAGCTTACTTTTGTTTTCTCATTTTGTTTTTTTTTTTTAAAAATGCCTTGACATAAAATATTGTTCTTTGCACTGGGTGGTCAGACTGGCAACCTTATTCTAATCAGAGAATTATAGGCACAATATGACACATAATGAAATCATCTAACAGCTTGGAAGGCATTATTGGCAAAGACGGTCAAGCAAATTAATTGGGATTTTTAAACAGGTGCCACTGCGATTCATTTTATACAGGAGGCACTCTTGTTTTTCTACAACCTTGTAAACAGAGCAACACTCTTCGGGCTCTTCCAGATGTGTTTTGTGAAGCCCTATAGATGACTTATTCTGAAATATCTTAAATAATTCCACAATATTTTCATTGTGTGGAAGGTGCTTTGTGCAGTTTCTCACTTTTATATGTGGCAAGGTGGTGGTAGTTTGAGCAATTTTTGTTTCATGGCATTTCCCTACTTTTTCTGACAGGAGGCCTGTCAATGCAGTCTCTAAAACGATGGACAGCTTAGACTGACTCAGTAAACCAAGTACAGTGGTACATCGGGTTACAGACGCTTCAGGTTACAGACGCTTCAGGTTACAGACTCTGCTAACCCAGAAATAGTACCTCGGTTTAAGAACTTTGCTTCAGGATGAGAACAGAAATCGTGCTCCAGCGGCGCAGCGGCAGCGGGAGGTCCCATTAGCTAAAGTGGTGCTTTCAGGTTAAGAACAGTTTCAGGTTAAGAACGGACCTCCAGAACAAATTAAGTTCTTAACCTGAGGTACCACTGTAATTCCTGCTGTCTATTCTCCTAATCTCCCAAGGGGGCCGGAATTATATCATATCACATGTTATATGCAAAACAACAACAACAACAACAACAAACACTGAAAGGGGTATCAATAATTTTGGCACATGCTCATAACTCCAACATTTACTGCTTGGTGGAATGAGGGAGCATAAGGCACAGAACATATCTCAATCTGAACCAGGTTTTCCCAAACTTAGATCTCCAGCTCCTTTTGGACTACAGTTCCCATCATCCCTGACAACTGGCCCTGCTAGCTAGGGATGATGGGAGTTGTAGTCCAAAAACAGCTAGAGACACAAGTTTAGAAAACTCAGATTCTGAACAATTCCCTCCTTGGAGTGGAGTGGAAGAAGTGCAATCACTCTCTAAGAAACAGCAAAGTAACAATAACACTTTTTAAAAAATCTGAACAGCAACACATCTGAAAGGGCCTAGAATGAGGGAAGAAGCAAGAGTCATTCTTACCACAGGGTCATTGCCAGAGAACTGTGGCAAAGGACATTGACCTGATGTTTCCCACTCCGAATAATGATCTTTGCAGTAAGTGACATTGTGCAGCAACAAACTCTGAGGGGTCTGGCCACGGATGAGCTGACTAAACAGAAAAAGAAAAGCGTTATAAAGCTAGAGCTGAATAAAAAATGGTCTTCGACATTCCCTTTTCACTTGCATTACCATCAAAAAGTCCCTCTGTGAATTAAAAATCTCATGAGCCTTTCTTTTAGCACACATGGAATAACACAGTGGTGGTCAGCAGTGTCCATCACAATGGGGCAGGGCCAACAGTGGCATCTTTGCTGCCAGTGTGGTGTAGTGGTTAAGAGCGGTAGTCTCGTAATCTGGGGAACCGGGTTCGCATCTCTGCTCCTCCACATGCAGCTGCTGGGTGACCTTGGGCCAGTCACACTTCTCTGAAGTCTCTCAGCCCCACTCACCTCACAGAGTGTTTGTTGTGGGGGAGGAAGGGAAAGGAGAATGTTAGCCACTTTGAGACTCCTTCGGGTAGTGATAAAGTGGGATATCAAATCCAAACTCTTCTTCTTATATGGACAATGTGCCAGGGTAAAGCTGGGCAGCAATGAGGTCAGGGCTGTTCAGGCACGCTAGCGCAGCCAGTCCAGTGCTCCCCCCAGCGAACCAGGCAGCCTCAGCTTCACTCTTGCCCTGCCTCATTCTGGGCTGGCAGTGTGGTACCACCCCACTGTATCAGCCATTCCTGATGGTGGCAGGCTGGGGAAATTTGTGGGTAGGTTACAGCAGGAAGCAGGAGTGTTGGCCTCTCAGACTGTTTCTATGCTGCCCTCAAAGAAGTCCACTCTCCATCTTGCATAAATTTATAATATGGGTGATGTGACTTTGGGCACAATCTGGTAGGAAAGCAACACACAAATGATGACTTCTGATGATGATGACATTGAGTCATATTGATGTATACTGATACTCACCCCATCCCATGGATAACTAAACCAATGAAGAAAACAACAAACAGGTGATGAGTATACCAGAACACCTCATAGAAGGACCTTGTGATGATCTCTGTAGATGAAGTCATGATCAGAATTAATGACACAGTGATCAGGAGACCTGTCATTCCAGCAGTGGTTGTTAGTATTTCAGTTATTGCATTCTTTTTTTTGGTGGGGGGGGGGGAGAAAAATAATAAAGTGGTTTTATAGGACAAATGAATAAATGTTGTAGCTTCAGCATAAAAATAAACACATGAAAGATTTGGGGCATTTTAATCAGACATACTGGGTTGTTTCTAAGTATTACTCAGAGTAGACCGACTGAAATTAATGGGCCTAAGTTAGTTATGTCTGTTATTTTCAATGGATAGAACTAGCACTGGATGCAACCTATTGGCACTGATTATTAAAACTTAGGTTTGTGCTGGAAAGTGGTATAAATAATATTAGCTGCAATTTGTTTGCTTCTGTGAAAGGATTACAGGAAATGATATGATCTAAGAGGTAGCTGTTTTGCTACACTGGAGTCCTTCTGAGGGAATGAAATAGAGCAAGATTCAATGAAACAGAAAGGTAAGAATGAAACCCATGCAGATTAATCTAGCTGTAACTTTCTGAAAGGCAGATGTTAGGCAATAATGAGTTATACACATGGTGCCACGTTCTTCTTTCAAAATAAAGTGTGCTTGTGCAAACATTTGAAGACACTAAACATTTGAAGACTTTTTGCTTCTATTGTTTCTGGTGTGTGTGTGTGAGAGAGAGAGAGAGAGAGCGCGCACACATTTTCAAGGCAGGGGAAACAGTCCAATGACAAACACCAGCCAATCCCCAAAATGCCAACTTACCATGTCATAGTTCCTGATTGGGTTCAAGTAGGACTCATTAGGGCTCTTGCCAATGCCTGACAGTTTACTGCTTAACTCTCCTGCTTGTTTTGACTGGCTAAGATGGTATCGCTCTATGTTGATCAAATGTGCAATGATGTGAATGGCTTTGAAAAGAAAGAGTTGTGTAAAGTGAGGACCATAATATGAAATATTGGAAGCAAACAGATCCTTATTTCATGGATGAGTCATTGGGTAAACAATGGATGGCTAAACATGTATTCCCAGAAAAGAGCTGGGCAGCCTTGATGATGGTGATGACAAATATTTTTCCAACAATGGTCAGGTAATGAGTTATGTGCTTGAGAACATAGCTTGGTTTACCTTTTGCATTCAATTTTCTCTCTCTCTCTCTCTCTCTCTCTCTCTCTCTCTCTCTCTCGTGTGTGTGTGAGTGTGTGTGAGAGAGAGAGAGAGAGAGAATGTCACAATATAAACCATGAAAGGCTGATATTACCCCTGAATATATATTTATACTATAAATCAATATAATACTGTTTCAGTTCAAATCTGATACATAACGTTCAAACATGGGGTGGTTCAGCCTCTCTCACTTTTATCTTTCCACTTTTTCTACAGCTCTCCTTATCATATAAAACCTGTGAATGCATGCGGGGGCCTGGTTTCATTCCCATAGGTTCAAAACACCAGAGTTGTTGTCCTATTCACTTCTGTGGAATTGCAGAGGAACAAGCACACAACATTGTCTTTCCCACTTCTGTGAATGAGGCTGCCCTTGTAGGCAACGTGCTGTTCAATTTACATTGAAGCCTTTTTGTGTGGAAGATGCGTAGGCCCCCACTTTTTTGCACTGTGGAGAAATGTGTGTGTTTGCCCATTGTAGTGTATAGAGCACCTCTTACATTCAAAACATGCCCATCACACGTCAGCAGCTATGGAAGAGCAGGCTATAAATCCAAGTCTATGATCATACATAAGTAGTTCATATGTGCTATTATTACTTTGTTGCACGCTAGTCTATAATTTTCCATCTATCTCATTGCTGGATTGTTTTATGGAGAGGGGGTTAGTAAATGAGCTGCAATTACAGGTCATTATCCATCAGTTCAGCATGTAGAGAAAGAGCCAAACGAGAGATGTCTTGATACATTTGGCTAATCTGTGTTTGTTCTCAGCGAAGCATATACAGCTCTTATTGAACTGGTGCACATACTTATTCAAGAGAGTAAAAGCCACTTCTCTGTCTTTCTGCATGCCTGTCTGGGATAATAGTTGCACTGAAGTTAGTCACCTTTTAATTAAGTACTTAAGCATACCCATTACAATCAGTTTCCTAACTTGTATTATATGGATTCTATTCTATTCATCGAAATGTTAAAATAGCACAATTTAAAATAAAACAAAAACATATTTTTAAACAGTTTAAAACTATCTAAGACATCTCTTACACTCAGATTTATTAATTTCACAGTTACCGTGCTCAGAATTTAACAGCTATGTCTTAACCTGCATAGATTGCCAATGCCTCCCATTATTTACACCTCTCCTATACTGTGATCGCCACCATCCTGTAAATTATTCCTAGTCTATTAATAGCTTTCATGTCTTATCATAAATGCATACATACAAACATAGTTAAATAAAATCCCTGTTCCATTCTTCCCAAGGCAGAGGCCCTGAGCAGTATCTGTGGACAAGAAATGTGTGTAAAAACTAGGGGGGAATCCCAACCTCTCAACAACAATGTTTCCCATGCATCACATAACCAGCTCTGTCTAAAGCAGCCTTTCTCAACCTGTGGGTCCTCAGATGTTGTTGAACTACAACTCCCATCACCCCTAGCTAGCAAGGCCAGAGCTCAGGGATGATGAGAGTTGTAGTCCAACAACATCTGGGGACCCACAGGTTGAGAACCGCTGGTCTAAAGGGAGCCCCATCTACATGTATAGGGTTTTCCTCCATAGGAATGAGAAACACGGCTGGGTAGTTTCCCCATCTTTGTGGAAGAAGCCCAATGTGTGCCAAAGTAGCTCTTTTCAGATCCAGTCAATCATGCATCAGCTGGGAGGAAAATCTCTCTCCTGAAGCTGCTATTTGTATTGGGAGGAAATCTCCCTTTGGGGGACTTAAAGTTAATGCACCTTTAGTTTGATACCTTGAGGAAACTAAAACAAGATCAATTAATACATTTCTATTCCTGGAATGACTTGTTAATTAAAAGGGGGAAATTGTGCTTTCTTCAGGAATCCATTCTTATGATGAAAGAAAAGTGGTATGTTGCTGGGCTGATAGAGAAATATAACTCCACGCAGCACTGCAATGTGTTCTGCATTCCATGCTCTTTTGAGGTTTTGAGCAGAACAAAAATTCAGCTGACTGATCCTGGTGGGAAGTGTGCCATCTTGGAGCCCTTCCACAGTCCTTCTTGAAGGCAAGGGAGTATCAACAGCTGCTGGGTAGAACTCTTGAGCCACTGATCCTATTTAGAGTCATCCCTTTTGCATTGGATCTGCATTGTATGCAGAAGGAATGAATCAGAGTTGATGGTTGGGTACAGGCGACTTCCCACTTACATGAGGGTTACAATCGCAAGTATCGCACATATATGTGAAATCATGTATAGTGGGGAACAGCATCTAAAAAGCTTGTAAACACCTTCTAAACCTCTGGAACCCTGTGAAAATTCCCTTTAAAAAACCAGCAGCACTTCCTAGTCTTTCCCCCCCATTCTTTTCACACCATTTTCACAGCTTTTGTGCTCTTTTGGGGCCATTTTTGCCCATTTCACACCTTTTTTGCAGTTTAAATCGAATTATTTATTCATTTCCCAACACCACACATATACATGGTTGTATGCGAGTTGAACGTGTGCAAGCAGGGAGTTGCCTGTATATCAAAGAATGTAATATGTCTTTAAAAAAAGGGGGGGTGTTTAGTGAATGTATGGGAGAATGTTTATTTATTCAATGGCTGATGATAAAGAATGAATCTGAGTGCCGAATTGTTGGTGGGAACTATAGAGGGCATCTGGGAACATCTGCTGGAGGAAGGAAAGCAAAAAATACACACCACGAACAGCTAAAAGCAAGTGGTCTTTTGAAAATCTATGGCTATTTCCAATATGTGAGACCTAAGGTTAAAAGATCAAGAAGAAGGCCAAGACAGAAGGCTGTGTTCTGGTTGTCTTAGGACTCCTGAAAGTTCAAAAGATCAGGGAGTGGGAACCTGTCTGTCTGAAAAACAGCATATGATGGAACAACATATGAGGGTCTGGGAAAATACCCTGATGACCCCAGATCAAATGACCTCAAATGCTACTCACTATAACTTTCGTCATGTTTGATGAAAACTGGAAAGTATAAAGCAAGGACTTGTGCACCTAGGATTTTGGAGATCAAGAAGACAAGTCCAGAAGTCAGAGTGCATCAGACAAACTCTGACCTCTTACCAGCTCTGCTCAGATTGGCCATCTGAGGAGGTATGCTTGAGTAAGTATGAATGGATAGGGATAATGTTTAGACCATGGGTAGGCAAAATAAGGCCTGGGGCCGGATCCAGCCCAATCGCCTTCTAAATCCGGCCAGCAGATGGTCCAGGAATCAGCGTGTTTTTACATAAGTAGAATATGTCATTTTACTTAAAATGCATCTCTGGGTTATTTGCGGGGCCTGCCTGGTGTTTTACATGAGTAGAATGTGTTCTTTTATTTAAAATGCATCTCTGGGTTATTTGTGGTGCATAGAAATTCGTTCATTTTTTTTTCTTTTCAAAATGTAGTCCAGCCCCCCACAAGGTCTGAGGGACAGTGGACCAGCCCCCTGCTGAAAAAGTTTGCTGACCCCTGGTTTAGACCTTGTTATTGACTAAATAATTGATTGCAGCATATAGGTGTGTGTTTGGTCTTTGACACTCCTATCCGTAAGATCCTCCTGTTTCAAAGGGTAAGCCCTCTGACCCAGCAATTAAGTGGTTAAAGGCACACATTCTGCATAACAAAGGATCTGTGTTGCTCCTTGGATGTAGCAAAGAAAGCTGCAGAAAACTTTGCAGAAAACTGGGATGGTTTGGAGAAGAGCAAATGTTCCTGCCTCCTGTGAAGACTGCAGTTTTCTACTAATGAGAGGAGAAATTTCTTGAGAGAATGCTGTCTCCTGCCAGGGAGATTCAGAATTTTAAGTCTTGTTTTATGCTTTTATCCATTTAGGTTTTACATAATTGTATTTGGATTTGCACGGATTCATTTTGTTTCATCTCATTTTTATTTCAATTTAATATTGCATTTTCATATTTGTTAAAAGAGGGCCATTTTCTTTCTTTTTTTTAAAGGGGCAGTGTAGTGCTATGCCAGGAAAAATCAGGGTGGCATTCAACTAAGTTTTACTAAGGGTAGACCCATTGAAGAGAATGGACCTAACTGAGTCATGATCATTACTTTCAGTGGGTCTACTCTGAGTAAGCCTTAGTTGGCATTTTAAGCTTGTTTACGCTGTAGGATTTCTAAACTTGTCAATGTTACCTTGCGTTACTTTCATTCTGTTAAACCTTTGTTTTGTAATGATCTGATGACTAGATAGAAATAAAGGAAACTGAATCTCACCTGCTACTAAAATATGTAAGAATTGCAAATCAATAATAGGGGTACCATAAGTGATACCAGACAGAGCTTCTTCCTTTTCCCAAAAAACAACTGCATTTATTCACTCCGTCAGCAAGCCATCCCTGAAATAACAGAACTGGTTTCCATCACAGCAGAAAGTGTTGTTATCAGGGAGAAGGGAAAATGTACTCTTACTTGGGAGTTTCATTGCAAACAATAGATTCTAAGGAGACATATTTGAGAGCACTGAGAGTGTCTCTGGATACCAAGGGTAGAAAGTTGAGTTCCTCAGAGATCCCACCCCCAACCCCCCAAAAATATTTTATATTTGTTTGCTCACACGTGAATTCCAAATATTCAGGGGTTTTATTGAAAGTGTGTGGCTAAAAGCAGGGCCAGGCTACACATACAAGCCCAGCCCTCAGTGTCCCCACATGGGCCAGTTCCACATTGGACCTCCCTGCATTAAGACTGCATGATTAGCACTCCAAATTCATATCACTCCAGACAAAACAAGGAAGCCTACATTCTAAGCATTAAGTTTTTTTAAAAAAAACTTACTTGCATTCACAGCTACTCCATATGCAATAGTCTTGTGAAATGTGACACTTTTGTCAAGTTGTCTCCTCAGGACTCCTCCACAACACTTGATGAAAAGGGGAAAAGATATGCATTTTAAATCATTTTTATGAACTTGAAATTGCATGCAAACATAATTATAAAGTACAGTTTATCTAGTCCAGAATTTACTGAACATAGCTGGAATACTGCAGCCAGACGCAATGTTGAGAGGTGATTCCAAGATTCACCTATGCCCACTCCTACAATAATAAACTATGGTTTATCATTACAAGAATGATCAAAAACCCTTAGGGGGAAAAGGAGATGGTGCTGCTGTCACTGATAATGGTGAGCTACACTCCTGAAAAACTGTTACAGAGTTTCTCCTCACCTTGGAGAAGTTTGATGGCATGGTCCCCCTGATTTCCTTGCTCAAAATTAGGCTGGAGAATTTTGAGAGGCGATTTTGAGAGGCAAAACTCAAGTTAATTTTGGCTGTGGTTTATTGTAACAAGCTAGCTTCACAAACCAGTATCTGAAGTAGGCTTCTTTAAGAAAACCATAGTTAAAGCTAATTGAAGCTTGTCCAGATTGGGGCATAATGCTAAACAACTGGTGGTTAAAAAACAACAACAATAGTAGCAAAAGCTTCCAATGTCCTCCCTGCAGCTATATCAGCTGAGGAAAAAAGAAGAGAGAGTGAATGAGTCTAAATCACCTAGGGCCTTCTCGGTAGTGGCACCCGCCCTGTGGAACACCCTCCCACCAGATGTCAAAGAGAAAAACAACTACCAGACTTTTCGAAGACATCTGAAGGCAGCCCTGTTTAGGGAAGCTTTTAATGTTTGACGGATTATTGTATTTTAATATTCTGTTGGAAGCCACCCAGAGTGGCTGGGGAAACCCAGCCAGATGGGTGGGATATTAATAATAAATTATTATTATTATTAGTAGTAGTAGTAGTAGTAGTAGTATTGTTGTTGTTGTTGAAATATTATAGCTATATTTGCAACACTGTGACAAGTGTATGGAAAAATACACTCCTATAAATATCCACTAGCAGTCAAATGCTACAGTTTATCAGTTTCTTTTAAATGTGCATTTATAACAAGAACATTATCAGTGAACCTTTTCAATGATCATTTAAAAGGCAATACTTGTGCAATAGGGGGAAAAGTACTTACAAAACTTGTTCCCCTTAAGAATGAAACCAGGTTTCTACTAACTGGTAAGAGGATTAGCAGGCAGTTAAAGTTGAGGCAGGTGGCAGAGGCTCTTGCCCAGGCAAGCGTGGACTAGACACAAAATGACAAAATGTGTTACACATATGAAATGAATAAAAGCACAAGAAATGTTTTAGCCCCCCAAAGCTGACAAATTACCATTTGATTTTATGTTTCACAGCTTTACAGCCAGGGAGGGCAATTCTGTGAAGCGACCTGGTGTGTGTGTGAAATGGATGAAGGCAAGATTTGGAATCTTAATGCTGCAACAAGACTTTTAACGTTTTGGTCCTTGTGCCTCCAAGACATCATTGGACTACAATTCCTATCAGCCCAGTCATAATGGCTAATGGCCAAGAATGATGGAGGTTGTAGTCACAAAGTAGCTGGAAAGCACTGGATCGGGGAAGGCTGTAGTAGTATAATGTCACAAATCATACCATGTTAGGTAGTCAGGAATATTATGATGTCCCTGCCGTAAGTGGTTCTGCTTGGGTAAGAGGTGCATTACTATAGATACATGATTCAGGAAACAATGGATAAGTTCTTTTTCTAATCCAGTTTATGACTAACAAAAATGAATGAGATATGGATGCAGTATACTCCTAAATCGCAAAACTAAAACGAATCAAGTGGGGTTTAAAAAAAAGCAACCTGTTAGGCTGGTTTTAAAATTATGGGGCATTTGGTTACAAAAAACAGGGGGTGAAACACGAAGCAGAATGGCATGCAGATCAGTGAGACTTTAGGGTAAATAACAATGCAGAAACACATCCAAGAGAAAGCTTGGTTAAAGGGGCATTTAACAAACTTTTACTTACACCCAACATAACCCGAGTATAAAGATAGGCATCCTCCTCTTCATACCAGTTGAATGTGTCAATAAACAGGTATAAGTTCATTCCCAGCCACAATAACTACAGTAAATAGAAAATATATTGAAGATCAATTACAATTACCACGTTCTTTTTCTCTTTTTCTTTTCTAATGCAATGTATAATTAAGAAATCTCACAATTGTGTTGTATTCGTCAAAAGAACCCAATTCTAAACAGAATGAAACTTTTGAGCATCAGTTGTGTGAATGATAAAAATGAAACATTTAGGGGAAAGTGGAGAGTTCCTTTGAAATATCAGAAAATGAATCAGAACCAGCAGCTTGATTATGAAATAGATACTTACAAATAACAGAACTGACAAGCTTTCATTCAAAATCCAATACACCATCTTGATTGTCTCTGTTCTGTGCTAGCAACAATTCACTCCCTTGTAATACAAATTGAATTCTCTGTATCTTCCTCTTGCTGCATAATCAGCTCTCTGGAGCAGCAGCCTAGGAATATTCTAATTAAGGACTTCCTACCAGATGTCGATCTCCAAGGGGGACATAGTTTGTGATGTGAGAAACTAATCTAATAGGCAGTTTCTGTCCAAATTATTTTGGAATAAATGAAAGGTTTATCAGAATCAGTGAATCCCAGCCCCCACCCACCCAGTTTCAAACAACAGGTTTCAAATACAGCCTAGATTTCCCCCATCCACCCACCCCTTACAAACACTGGAGATTAGGAAGCTGTCTTACAGACTGAGGCTGGTCCGTCTAGTTCAACATTGTATACACTGACTGGCAGTGGTTCTCCAGAGTTTTAGATAGGGAATGTTTTCCCTGTCCTACCTGAAATGCAGGGGATTCAACCTGGGACATTCTGCATGCCAAACAGGTGTTCTACTCTACCACCAAGATGTGGCTCTTTCCCAACAGTAATGCAATATTTAGCATATACATGTGTGTATATAATATATGGAAAATATCCAATGGATGCTGTGCAGAGCTTCCACCCGCAGTCTAGAATTTCTCATAGCTTCAGCCAGATTCTACATAAACTAATTTTACTTACCTTCAAAACCCTCCATGCCATGGCCCCACCCTGCTATTTTTCTGATCTCATAACCTGATGGATCCCAGCTCAACCAGTATCAACCATCCAAAGATCTTTTGCCCATTCTCCCTCACTTTCCCTTATGTCTGCAGCTTCCTCCAAGAATCCTCCAACTGCTCTCCTTTATTTCCTCTTCAGAACTCACCTTTCCCAGGAAGCCTTTGGAATATCCCCCTAGATGCAACACCCTATTGTAACTAAGCCAAAGTATAATAGAATACAGTGGTACCTTGGGTTAAGAACTTAATTCATTCCAGAGGTCCGTTCTTAACCTGAAACTGTTCTTAACCTGAAGCACCACTTTAGCTAATGGGGCCTCCTGCTGCTGCCGCGCCGCCGGAGCACAATTTCTGTTCTCATCCTGGAGCAAAGTTCTTAACCTGAGGTACTATTTCTGGGTTAGCGGAGTCTGTAACCTGAAGCGTATGTAACCTGAAGCGTATGTAACCTGAGGTACCACTGTATATTCTTCACCTGTTTACCCTTTCCTCCACCCCCTTCCTCTGTGCCTTTTAAGATGATATGCCTCTTGGAAGCAAGGACCCATCAGATCTGTTTTATGAAAAGCACCATGCACATGGATGCTGGCATATAAATAAATAAATTTATAATAAACAAATTTAATCCACAGTTTAAGGAGGATATTGACAAGCTGGAATATGTGTTAGAGGAGGGTGACCAAGATGATGAGGGGGTCTGGAAACCAAGCCTTATGAGGAACAGTTGAAGGAGCTGGGTTTGTTTAGCCTGGAAAAGAAGGAACTGAGAGGATATATGATAGCCACCTTCAAATTTCTAAAGGGCTGTCATGTGGAAGATGGAGCATGTTTGTTTTCTCCTGCTCTGGAGGGTAGAACCCAAACCAAATGGATTCAAGTTACAAGAAAGGAGATTCTTGCACTAAATGCCAGGAAGAAAGAAGATTACTGACTAAACATCAGGAAGAACTTTCTGAATGTAAGAGCTGTTTGACAGTGGAACAGACTCCCTCCGAAGGTGGTTTTCAAGCGAGGTTGGATGGCCATCTGCCATGGATGCTTTAGTTGAGATTCCTGCATTGCAGGGGCCCTCCCTCAGGGGCCCTTCCAGAACTACAATTATATGATTCTGTGGTTCTAAATTATTCAGGTTATTATTACAGCATGGCGCACTACACCTTTCTCACACTGGCTGAAGAAGAAAGAAAATGACAAAGCAGCAAAGAAGAATGACCAGAGCATGACTAAGGTGAATGCCAATTTCGGCTCCCTCACCCTAAAAAAAAAGGAAGAAAGTAAGTCTGCATCTGAATTAGTCATACTTCAAAGCAAAAAGGGGGAAAAAAGCTGTATGAGACATTCTGCTTTGAAGTACAGCTGATTCAGACACCAATTTTCTAAAATGCGTATTATTTTTTTAAGACATCTGACTGGGATTTTTCCAAGTACAGCAGATTCAGAAACTGATTTGGGTTCCTAAACTTGTCTGTGCTTGTAGCTGTACTTCAAAGAAGACTAGTTCTGCGTAGCATTCTGCTTTGAAGTGCATCAGATCCAGATGCTCATTTTTTTAAAGAAGCCAGTGCTAGTGCATGAACTGATAGTGCTTCTTTAAATTATTATCCAGCAGATAGTAGAGTACATTTTCTTACATGAAATGAATTAATATCCATTGTGAAAGATGAATGAAGTGATGGTATACTCTGTGACCTTGCCACTGATATCAGCAAGAGATACTTACCCCCTTTTTATCTGATATAAGCAACTGCCCAAAGTTAACACACAAAGTGTAAGCAGAGGTTACTGTGTATATACAGAGAATATACAGGGCTGTCCAATTAGACAGGAGTAGCAACAAAAAGCATGCAGAGGAAAGAATTAATAAATAGTTGGCTGTTAGATTTCAATTCTGCTGTTTACATTTTCTGAGCCTAGTCACGTTCATTTTAGAATAAAACCCAACCTACACATAAGAAAATTATAACCATGATTCCGCTTTTCAGAGACTGTGCTCGCCTCTGAAGTGTTCGTAATTTACGGAGTGGATTCAGTCACATAACGGAAATGGATGTTTGCACAATTAAAGTGGATTAAAGCCCTGAGGAATTTTTGTGGCTAAAGAAGTGACACACTTTCAGACTGGAGACTGGACCCCAGTTCTGGGTGCTACAATTTGAGAAGGATATTGACAAGCTGAAACGTGTGCAGAAGAGGGTAACCAAGATGTTCAAGGGGCTGGAAACCAAGCCTTGTGAGAAATGGTTGTCTTTCAAATGGTTTGCATGCTCCGCATCTTGTGATCGATTATGCAGGGTAAGGCTTACCGGTCATCCCCGCCCCCAATGTTTTTATAATAATTTTTTTATTGCATTTTAAAATCTGCAGATATACAGTCATACCTTGGGTTGAATGTGGTTCGGGTTGAGCACGTTCGAGTTGTGCTCCGCGGCAACCCGGAAGTAATGGAGTGTGTTACTTCCGGGTTTCGCCGCTCGCGCAGGCACTCAAAATGACATCATGCGCATGCGCGGAAGCGGCAAAATGCGACCCACGCACACGCAGACATGCTGTCACGGCTTACATTGCATTCAGGATGCAAACAGTGCTCCGGAACAGATCCCGTTCGCATCCCGGGGTACCACTGTACATCTTATTTCCTTCATTCTTATACATACATACATGCATGCATGCATACATAATCTATTTCTTCTTCTAAAATTATTCATCTCCATAGTACATTAATTGACTTTCCCCTACCTCTTAGCAGATTCTTCATATCTCTTTATTTCCTTTTTCCTTCAAACTGTGTTCTAGAATTCTTTCAACCTTTTCTCTCTATAAAATAACTCATCTAATTGTTTTTTACTTTGTGAAATTTATTCTAGGCACATCGAAGTTTTAAGTTGGGAACCATGTTTAGCTAGTTTTTTAAAACGTTCCCATTCCTTTTTAAACCTTGTAAACGAGTGATTTCTTATCACTTTGGTCATCTTGGCTAGTTCTACATATTCACCCAATTTACTTTGCCACTCTTCCTTAGTTAGAGTCAAATTCCCTTTCCAGTATTTGGCAATTAATACTCTAGCCAGCATAGTTGCATATAGAAATAATCTTTTGCTTTCTTTTGGAATGTTTATTGTCATAATACCCAATAAAAAGGCTTCTGGTCTTTTAGTGAATGTTTGAGCATTTTCTTTAATTCTTCGTAGACCATGTCCCCAACCCCCCCCCCCCAATGTTTTATT